AGTAACAGTTGAGTTGCTAGTCTAGAGCCTGTTCTGAGTATCAGGAGTTTAGTAGTAACAGTTGATTTGCTAGTCTAGAGCCTGTTCCGAGTATCAGGAGTTTAGTAGTAACAGTTGAGTTGCTAGTCTAGAGCCTGTTCTGAGTATCAGAAGTTTAGAAGTAACAGTTGAGTTGCTAGTCTAGAGCCTGTTCCGAGTATCAGGAGTTTAGTAGTAACAGCTGAGTTGCTAGTCTAGAGCCTGTTCCGAGTATCAGGAGTGTGCAAATGTCAAAGTTGATTCACTACTTCACAGCCTCTTCCACGTATCAGGATTTTACATGTCATAGTTGATAGCTACTCTAAAGCATGTTCTTACTATTGGAAACATATGTTGATTCGCTAATTTAGAATAGAAAATAGACGTTTTTGGTTGGTCATGTGAAGACACCCTCCTGATAGCTTAGTCTTCAGATCAATCAGAGTTTATCATGACGTCGCAGTTGCACGTTCACACTCTACACGCGGGGAACACCATGTAATCCATGAATCAATACACAGGAGAATAGGGGACTAACTAAAGTTCACATGCAAAAGAACTTTGTTTGAAGTTTTCATGACACACCAATTATCCCCATTCAATCCTCATGTTAATACACCGTACAAAGAACTATTTGACCGATACACACAGGCAAACGGCATACAGCGTGTAGAATGATACTGACCATGTTTGGGTGAGTGTCTGGGTTTGTGGTCATGGACCAGGTCCAATTTTGACAGGGTAGGCCATCGATTGTGGTATGTTCCTTGCCTCTGTACTCCTCCCCGTTGTCCATGTAACATTCTATGATATAATTGCAGTTAATGCCATTTTAACTGATCCTTAATTCCACATTCAATAAAAGATATTTTTGTTCTGTAGTACTGAATCAGCTTATCTTAGAATGTTCGACATCTATTTGTATCTATATAAAGCTAGAAAGCAATCCACTACCCTATATATTGCGTATATGACGAGTTGGCAACCGCTTACCATGCCAATAACATACATGTACATGTATATGTAATAATAAGGAGTTGGTACTCTGTAACCCTGACAAAACCATATACATGTATGATGAGATGGCGATGTTTTACCCTGTCAATCAGATACGACGAATTGACATTCACTTATCCTGTCGATGATGTAACCGAAGTGTTGGCAATTGCCTTACCTTGCCAATGGTCTATATGACGAGTTAGTAGTTGCATTCCCTTGTCAATGTTCTATAGGACGAGTTTGTAATCCCTTACCTTTTCAATGTTCTACAGGACGAGTTTGTAATCCCTTACCTTGTCAATGTTCTATAGGACGAGTTTGTAATCCCTTACCTTGTCAATGTTCTATAGGACGAGTTTGTAATCCCTTACCTTGTCAACGTTCTATAGGACGAGTTTGTAATCCCTTACCTTGTCAATGTTCTATAGGACGAGTTTGTAATCCCTTACCTTGTCAACGTTCTATAGGACGAGTTTGTAATCCCTTACCTTGTCAATGTTCTATANTTAATAGTTGCATACCCTTGTCAATGGTCTATATGACGAGTTTGTAATCCCTTACCTTGTCAATGGTCTATATGACGAGTTTGTAATCCACTTACCTTGTTAATGGTCTATATGACGAGTTTGTAATTCCTTACCTTGTCAATGGTCTATATGACGAGTTAATTGTTCCATTACCTTGTCAATGTCCTATATTACGAGTTTGTAATCCCCTTACCTTGTCAATGTCCTATATGACGAGTTTGTAATCCCTTACCTTGTCAATGTCCTATATGACGAGTTAGTAATCGCCTAACCTTGTCAATGGTCCTATATGACGAGTTTATAGTTGCATTCCCTTGTCAATGGTCTATATGACGAGTTTGTAATCCCCTTACCTTGTCAATGGTCTATATGACTAGTTAGTAATCCCATTACCTTGACAATGGTCTATATGACGAGTAAGTAGTTCCATTCCCTTGCCAATGGTCTACATGACGGGTTTGTAATCCCTTACCTTGTCAATGTCCTATATGACGAGTTAGTAATCCCCTAACCTTGTCAATGGTCCTATATGACGAGTTAATAGTTGCATTCCCTTGTCAATGGTCTATATGACGAGTTTGTAATCCCCTTACCTTGTCAATGGTCTACGTGACGAGTTAGTAATCCCCCTTACCTTGTCAATGCTCCATATGACGAGTTAATAGTTGCATTCCCTTGTCAATGGTCTATATGACGAGTTTGTAATCTCCTTACCTTGTCAATGGTCTATATGACGAGTTAGTAGTTCCATTACCTTGTCAATGTCCTATATGACGTGTTTGTAATCCCCTTACCTTGTCAATGGTCTGTAGGACGAATTTGCAATCACCTGACCTTGTCAATGTTATATATGACGAATTCGCAATCCCCAAACCCTATCAATGTCATATGACGAATTTGCAATCCCTTACCTTTTCAATGTCTATATGACGAATTTGCAGTCCCCTGACCTTGTCAATGACCTATATGACAAGCTGGCAAGTTTCATATCTGTCAACAACATAAATGTGATCATGACGAGATGGACATTTTCCTACCTTGTCAACGACATATGGCGAGTTGATCCTTACCCTGACTGTTTCTGTCCGAGCTGTCTTGCAGCGGTTTTTCACATATGAAGCCTAGACGACCTTCCGTGCTGAAGCACTCCATTGCTTTCCAGAAGAGGTAGGAGACTTGCTCGACTGACCCGTTAGGAAGAGCGTATTGTCTGGACAGGGCTAGGCAGTCTTGTTCGGGAGTCGTGGAGGGTTCATGTTTAACGTGTGAGGGCATCCAACCTAAAGGGAAGGGTACATTTTGTTACTTTCTACTTGCAGTCTATCCTGTCTTTAAAGGGAGTGGCATGTTGTCCTACCAATAAATGCACGGATTACATGGTGTTCCCCGCGTGTAGAGTGTGAACGTAAAATTAAATAACAGACAAAAGCCTACGTGACAATTTTAAAAAGAACTTAATCGTGTATAGTACCTTTTCATTTGATTATTTTCATGAAAAGGATGCAAAACTATGACAGGTTTTTCTGATGGTAGGAATAGGTTCAATTTCCCCCCACAAACTGATATTGGGACGCTATGGTGGTTTTCGCGAATCATTTAGTAATCCTGCAATCATAATATGGTCCACTTACAAATATACTTATAGATACCCAGTGTTTATTTGCAAATCGTAACCACAAAGTATATCATTAATTGTATTTACAATATTGGCGGGTCATGTTTATACGTGCTGTACACTAATCACCCTTTCCGCACTACTATGCACAGTAAGCTAGGTACTAACTTTCGCTTTGGCGAGCGAAAACAGCGAAAGTAAAACTGCAGCCAACATTATCTTGTATACTGGATATAGCAGGAAAGAACTGAATTCTGTAATTTATCTCTAGGTGTGCCGTAGCCTTGATGGCCACAGTTATCTCTTATAAATAGTAGCATGGTTTATATAACACACACTATACAATTCATTTAATTTCAAATTAACCAGAACACCTTTAAATTTTGGATCTCATAAATGAAAGGTTTTTACGCACCAACCTTTCTGTTTCAACAGTAGTTCAGACCAATTTGGATTCAAAATTTTTAGCCCCTAGCATGACCGATGCGTCCTAGAAGGACGAGATAGCGTGTATGGTGCAGTGTAATTAGTTAATTGTTTATATACTGTAGCTTTTGCTATATCTAAAGGTGCAATCACCTGTGTGTGTTACGTCCATCTTCCATTACACCCATTACTCACCAGGAAATCAGCCCGTCACGTCCATCATCTTCCATTACACCCATTACTCACCAGGAAATCAGCCCGTCACGTCCATCATCTTCCATTACACCCATTACTCACCGGGAAACCAGACGGTCACGTCCATCATCTTCTATTACACCCATTACTCACCAGGAAACCAGACCGTCACGTTCATCTTCCATTACACCCATTACTCACCAGGCAACCAGACCGTCACGTCCATCATCTTCCATTGCACCCATTACTCACCAGGAAACCAGACCGTCACGTCCATCTCCTTTTCTTCCAAGATATTTTTGTCACGTCTAATGCGGGTTAGGATATGTTTTCTCTGTTTCTTTTCTTTCTTCTTCTTGTTCTTTCCTTGCTTATTCTTTCTCTTTTTGTCCCTCTTTTTCTTTCTCCGCAACGTTTTCCAAATCCACTTGTTTCCTTGATACCTGCCTCCAATCAGCCAGTACTGTCTTTCTGAAGAAATTAATATTGGTACTGATTGTGTGACTCATGCATTCATGATACTGTTATGGATTTATTTGTCGTTTAATCGCCCAAAGTGTACATTAAATTTGATGCAGCGTTATTTCACTTCACCCTATTCTATTTTTAGAACAGACATGGTGTGTTTATATTTACCCGGATGAAGTGTTTGCAGAGTCGTTGACAGAAAATCGTTTTCCAGGATGCTGTCGACGTTGGTCAAGTAGCCTCCCAGTTTTGAACACGTTTCCTCTGCCGAGGACACTCTAATCTGAGGTTGTATCTGTATTAGGTAGCAGCCGTTAGGTCCAGCCACCCAGCTGTCACTGCAACCTGTAATGGGACGGTTTGGTTTGATGGCAAGTGTTCTTGTCGGCTAATCAAGACCGGAAATAACACGATGTAAAGACCAAGGAACGGAAACACCTCTTCCGTTGTGCAAAGACTAATGCCATTTGTGACTTCTGCTTAACGGACACTAACGGACACTAACGGACACTAAGAATATCAACACCGGTCTGTTGATCCCGTTACATTACTTTGGAGCTTTAATTTTTTCGTTTCTCACCTATCTATACTTTATTTTCAGTGTCACCCCAAAGCTGCCATTTTCATCTGACCTTAGATGTTACAGTAGTAAAGGGCCACATAAAATCTTCACATCTAAACAAATTTTGCAATGCATTATATACCGTTGAAGTCGTCATACATCACCAACAAGTTATTCTATACGAAAAGTGGTGAAAATCGACAAATATGGAAATCTGCGCACAACAGCTTCGTTTACCAAGGGATACAACCCACATCTGTTAGAGAAAGATGTGTGGGTGGATAGTGTGGCATTTCTCGTAACACTGTAAGCAATGATGAAGGGAAGAAGAGAAGACAATTTCAATGATTTCAAATGTTGGCTGACATTTGTGCAAGTATTGATATCACATTCTGTTTTGTGGTATTGAAGGATGATATACGTATAGGTAAGTATCTTATCAATCTGACTGTATTGCATTTGCCCGGAGTGTACGAGTTGGAGTGTACAGCAGTCATTCAGAAAAAGTTGATTCATTGTTATGCACGTATTGGATATGTATTACCAATAACGACGGCGTAAGTCTTCATATTTCTTGTTTCGTGTTTACATCAGACATAGTAAAACATGAATTACAATAATATAGTTCAAAAAGTAAGAGTTTCACATGAACAAACAATACAATTTGACAGGATCCACACAATCCTCTGACCTTGGTTTGGCTGGCAAACGACCGATACTGCCTCGAACACATGACAGTTGTGCTGTGGGGTGTAATCACATTCCAGCAGGGAGCTCTCGTTACCATGACACGCAACATCATCAAATACGAACGAATCATCCGACCAGGGTCCAGTCGAATAGCTCCTAGTATCAAGAGCATGTCGAGCCCCACTGCAAACGCAAAATAAATAACAGCAACATTGCTAACTGATTTGTGTGTCTAATAATGGAAATGCGAGGATTTTTCATCAGTCTAGCATGCATAATTAGAAATTCTTCTTTAAAGAAAAATAGCTTCATATGCTAATTGAACGGTTTTGTAACATGTAGAAGTCGAATTGTTTTCGAAAGTACTTTTAAAGATGTGAGTCTTGTTTCCCTGAAAATACTTTAAAAGTCGACCTACTGATGAAAAAAATAAAAATGATATGTATTTGTATTTTATGACTTTATCATTATACTCACAGTGTGAAGCCCAGCTCCCTGCACGCCACATGTGCGTTTTGTAAGTTCCAGTGGTCATCACACACGATCCCCCACCTGCCCGCTCTGTATACCTCCAGTATACCTCGTCCTAGTTCACGTGACCCGTTACCATAGTTACCAAGCCTGTAACACGTAATTCAGGGAATACGGTCATGTGACAATTGTTGTTCATTAAACTACTCGCTAGTCGACAAGTGTTACTTATCATACTTTTTGCCATGACTAAATGTTGCTCATTAAACTGTTCGCCATTAGCAAATGTTTCTCATTAACTGTTCGCAATTAGCATATGTTGCTCATTAAACTGTTCGCCTTTAGCAAGTGCTGCTCATTGCTCATTATACTGTTCGCCATTAGCAAGTGCTGCTCATTAAATTGTTCGCCTTTAGCAAGTGCTGCTCATTGCTCATTATACTGTTCGCCACTAGCAAGCGCTTGTCATTATACTGTTCGCATTTAGCAAGTGATGCTCATTGCTTATTAAACTGTTTGCCGTGACCAAGTTTTACTCACTAAACTGTTTGCCATAAGCAAGTGCTGCTCATTGCTCATTAAGGTAGCAGTGTGCAGTAGCGTACGGTGGCCGTGGGTGATATTTTTGTACAATGAATAACCCCTGTAATATTACATGTATCAAAACTTTAAAAAAAAATCAGCTCTAAAATTGGCATTTACGTGATGAATTGGACTATGTGGGCTTCACATTTGAAAAAAAAAAATCATTTTTGCCCATTTACAAATCTTTTCAAATAGTCTATTTTTGTACTCAGCACATGTGTAAATATTGTGAAAAATCCAGTTGAACGACCTATGCTAAAACGTGAGTATTTCTGTTACCGAGTAGGTGATATTTAATTTAAGACAGAGTTTAAGAAAACAATTACTACTTGCGTGGATCAAATTTTGGGTTAAAAATCATGTTTTTTTTGGCATTTTTTGACGTTTTTTTTATGTGGTAACCATGGTTTTCTTCACAAGTCCCAAATCTGGGGAAATCACCTTTTTTTAAAACTTTAAAAAAGACGTATTCAAAATGTAGTTTATAAATATATATATATATATGTCGGTGTGTTGTACAGGATGAATCCGCTATCCATATTTATCCGAGACATGCCCTTTATTTTTAGGGTCAAGCCATTTCTACTGTACTCTGCTACCTAACCTGTTTGCCATTAGCAAGTGCTGCTCATTAAACTGTTTGCCATTGGCACGTCTTGCTCATTAAACTGTTTTCCATTGACAAGTCTTGCTCATTATAATGTTCGCCTGTAGCAAGTGCTGCTCATAGCAAGGGTTGCTCATTAAACTGTTTGCCATTGACACGTCTTGCTCATTAAACTGTTTTCCATTGACAAGTCTTGCTCATTATACTGTTCGCCTGTAGCAAGTGCTGCTCACAGCAAGTGTTGCTCATAGCAAGGGTTGCTCATTAAACTGTTTGCCATTGACAAGTCTTGCTCATTAAACTGTTTTCCATTGACAAGTCTTGCTCATTATACTGTTCGCCTGTAGCAAGTGCTGCTCATAGCAAGTGTTGCTCATAGCAAGTGTTGCTCATCAAACTGTTTGCCATTGACAAGTCTTGCTCATTAAACTGTTTTCCATTAACAGGTCTTGCTCATTATACTGGTCGCCATTAGCAAGTGCTGCTCACAGCAAGTGTTGCTCATCTAACTGTTTGCCATTGACAAGTCTTTCTCATTAAACTGTTTACCATTGACACGTCTTGCTCATTAAACTGTTCGCCTTTAACAAGTCTTGCTTATTTTACAGTTTGCAATTGACAACATTTGATTGTACAGCTATTGTCAGTTTTATTGTCAAATTATTTAAGGATATTTTTTTTGGGTGAATCCAGTGATTGGTTATCCTGGCAACACATAAGTTTTATTTTATTTTCATTTTTTTTTTCAAATCTTAACATTTATATACAAATAATACATGACATAAAACAATTGCGTTATCATACAAATACAAATACAAATACCAGAAAGAAAAGGAAGAACTCTTTAAAGTAACTTATTTGATTTTCTCTGTGAGCTGTCGGTGTTAGCTTTATCAATATGTTACATTTACTCAGTATAGCAATTATATGTATAAAAAGATAAGGTACGTATGGCATTTGTCAAAGTTTCAGGTTTGGGTGTTTTCAAATAGCTTTGTCATTTGGTCCATTTTCTTTGGTTTCGATAACTTTTTCGCTTAATTCTAGCAATGCATTTTTTCAAATTACCAAAATTTAGAAATTTTGTTAAATTCATTGTTCATTCCATTTTGATTTAATCAAAAAAATCTTTTTGGTATATATCTCGTCAGAATGGAATAAACAGAAAAGTGGATAATAGTATCATCTTTACAATAAAACAATATATCTATAGATAAAGGTGTCTCAAGAATGAACTTTGTATTATTGTCCAATAATACACTAAGAGGCAATACATCTGTTACTAAGAGGACACTATAATAAAGCAATCAGTTAATGAAGAGCAACATTTTAGATTTGACAATAAACGATAAATTAGTAAGCAATTGGCAATCTGTTTTCTGTAATTACAATTAAACAACAATAACTAGCAGGTAGCATTGGACATAACATTCGTATACATGTGTCAAATTTTCTCCAAAGTATCGAAGAATCGACAACTACTGAAGATGACAACACTGACGATCTCGTTATTCTCTACCCGATGACAATCAATACGTTTACCTAATCCTCTGACCACTGACCGGCTCGGACAAAGATGGGTCGGCATGCGTCTTCCTGCTGAGGACCATTGCGTCCCCTCCTTCCTGTAGAAATGATACCTTTTTAAAACTGTACACTCCTATTCTAAATTCTATTAGTAAGCAATTTACATCCTTCATGTACCTAAAATCTCAATAGTATTTAGTATTGTACGTCTACTCAATGCCTCCAGACGAAGTCGGAAGTGGAATGGATTCCATTTAGAAGCATCAAGAAGCGATGCAACGCTTAAAACGATAACAACTTCATTGAAACAACGAACCAATGATTGTGTTTTAACTTTCACAATGATTGTTCAGTTGCGCAAAGAAAGTAAAGCATGGATGGAGACATTTTTGATAGAATTTGTTATAAGTATAATATCTATAAAATGCTTACTAAGGAAGATAGAAATATTAAAACGGAGAAAGATAGGAGGGGATGACATGAAAACACACATAAACTCGCCACTGTTCTCTACGTAAGCCGCTTATAGTTTTACATATTTTATAGTTTCAGGTTTATACAATATTAGCTCCGGTTCCAAAAAATAAATGAATTATTAGGTCAAAGCGGTTTCGCTGTACTCGTACAAATCACCTTTAAGTTTCCGGTTTATGCATTCCTGACACGAAAATATTTACTCTCTGTCTCTGCTGAACTTATCAAAAGTGTCAACATGAACAATGTAAGTTTCCGGCTACCAACACGTAACCCATAAATGAATAAGTTTGGTGTCCGGTTTATATATATATAAAAAAAACAATCTGCAACTTCCGGTGTTTTTGTAACTAACCTGTTCCGTAAGGCCTCCCGCAGGCTGTGTGATGAACCCACAAACCGTTCCCAGCCACACGGGGAACAGTATAACGACAATGAAAATACTCCTCATTGTCAGGATAGGACATAAAATACACCAAGTCACTCTTGATCTATATGACACAATAGAGTATTGTTACGATCCGTAACCCCGTCAATGTCAACAATCACAACCTGACCCTACGTAATAGATAACGCACTAGGGCTTATCTCAGAGACAGGGTAATCTATACATATATAGGAGACAACCCGAACCATATGGAAATATCGATTCAGTGTACATCCATCCATTAAGACACCAACAAAAATATATGTTACAGATGTATTCAAATTTTATAATTATATAAATACTGATAAATTGGATGTCCTAGATGAAATGCGCACCATTCTTCACAGCGTCGACAGCTGATCATGAGCAATATTACATAATATATATGTGTCCATAGGGCCCCCAACTAAACATAGAGGTTTATGCAATTCTATGCTTATTGCAATGAATAATGACACTGTAGGTATTCAGTGTTCCAATAATTTCTGGGGGAAAAAAATCAAATTTCATGGGAATAAAAGAACCTGTTTAGCCGAGGTTAATATTCCACAGTGTCCTCTTGTTAGAAAACATGGTAGGTGTTAAAATACATGGTAATTTGGTTGCTTACAAAATATTGTAAAAGATTTATGATACATTTATTACAGAAACATATTTAAAATTATCACAGAATCCACAAAAAATCATACATATAGAGTAACATTAAAAGACATTATTCCCATATACATACATACTAATATAGTAAAGTGTTAAAATTGACATAGATATAAGCTAATATAGCATAAAGGAAAAGATTTCCAGCATTGAAAAGACTCTAAAATAATAATCATTTAAGAGTACAAATAATGGCGAACAAGCTTCGTTTTGAACATAGAAAAAGACCTTTCATTTTCAATTTCGTTATCGTCCAGGTGGAAAGCTATTTTGTGAATATAAAATATAGTTAAACAAAAACAGTGGATAATATGACGATGTGATGTTATTACAATGGATATATAGTTAGCCTCCACTTTGGTTCATGTCATCAGTGTGGTATCCGATGTGAAGGAAACAAATAATTAGCCACACAGATGATGAATCCGTTCTAATTAGTAACAGTTAGGGATGGGATATACTTGACTTGTGCCCCGGAGTCAGGCGTGACCTACTTAAAACCGTGCTAATCTTTATATATTGCAAAAGCTTCCGGATTTTAGTTTCAACCACATCATCAACAAATAAAGAGGGACATGGGGGGCATTTACAGCCAACTATAAACGTAACTTATATTCTCATAGAAATGTATCCCCACTTTTAAAAGTCTTTCTGGAATTATTGTGTGGGATTAAAAATGGTATACAGTGTTAATTAAAAAATAAAATGATGTTATGAATATGTCTTTGCTGCCATTGGTTGCTAAATCAGTCTCTGGCCCCCACGGACATGACCCTAGGACGGTTGACCTCCGCCCAAAGTGGGGTTTGTTTATTTCGCTGTAAGGCCCGGTAGTAACGGGGAGGCTGTGAAGATGGAGCTAACTCGGTCTCTCTGGGTGTCACTGGTTCTCGTTTTACTATGCATTGAACATTGCGATGGGAAAAAGAAAAAGGTAACGTTTGGGATTGATTTTGTATTGCTATATAGGCGACATTAATTAGCTGTTAATACTCCTAAAGTTACTTCTTAATTGTCAATTAATATTAAGGTGGTTTTGATAATTTGTTGCTCGGTGTCATATTTGTAGAACTCTAAATGCAGTTTAAATTTACACTTAATATCTCCTGAAGTTTCGTGGATGTTATAAAACAATATGGACCTGCTGTAACTCATTGCATGGTCGTTAGAGCTAGCGATTTGTGTGGGACCATATAGTCATGTGTATATTCTTTGTGGACACAGAAGAGACAAAACTCATAATTTGTTATCCTTTGTTATATTTGTAGGACTCTAAATGATCGTTTGCTTTCCATATATACTATAAATATATTTATATCTCCTGATGGTTCGTGGATGTTATGAAACAATATATACACCTTGTATATTCATTGTGGGACCCCCAGCATAGTCGTGGTTGTCCTTGTGCGTCTCTATTCTCTATCGACACAGACAAACTGTTGTTGCTATTGTAACACTTGAAAACCTCTGTCTTATGTTCTGACCCCATTACGTCCTATTTATTTTCTGGACCTCTGTCTTATGTTTTCTGGACCTCTGTGTATCCCATTATCAGAGCAGTGTGAACTGAAGGGCTGCTATGCTGCCTGTGCCCAGGTTATGATGGTAGTTTTAGAGTGGCCACTTGAGTAGTGGCCCCTCGATCGTCTGTGGACACCGCCTACACGATGTGATGACACAAAACTAACTATACAAGCAAACAAACAAACAAAAGTGTTTGTTTTATTTATTTAAAAAAAAATATGAAAATGTTCTACTGTTACTTATTGCAATAATTATAAAATTAATTTGTGTTTCAATCAGAAACAGCTCGGTTCGAAAGGCAGTCGGAGAGAAAACGTGGACATCCATGCACCGTACAGCGGTCAGCGAGTAAGGTCAGTGCATAAATGAAAGGTCAAACCACAGACTTTGGTCAAACCCTTACACGTGTATATGTATAGTCGTGCTCAAATCGGTTAATTGCAGAAAATAGTGTAAAGAGATGAAACACACACTATGACAAATAAGTTTATATAATGCAGGTCTGCACATATTTTATAAAGCGGGATCGATGTTTGCTCAGGAAACAGTTACGTATATATGTAGTCTGTATCCACATATATGGAAAATCACCTCCAAATGCTGTTTAGTGGATTCAGTATTAGTGAATTTGTACAGTGCTACTTTTTCGATTGATGTCAGTTTAAAGTCATCACAAAACCAATCGATATGCCAACCTTAATATTTCTGAATTATATTATTGTTGAATTTTCTCCCAAAAAATATTGTTTTTTAACGAACTTCATAATCGAACGCGATCACAGGTCGTACCTTTTGAACCTTGAACCTTTTCGGACTTATTTTTCTCATTATATCATTGCCCTTTTGCTAAAAATTGGCAGAATGGTTGACTCAATTTGTATAAAAGTAATATTTGGCCGAATACCTAAAGGACGTATTTCTGTCTGTTCGTAACATATGTTAAACATGCTCTTGTCGCAAATTTTGAAATCGCAAAGTTGCAAATACATGTATTTTGAAATAAATGAACGATATCATAACACTTGTCTACCATGTGCGTTTCCTCTTTATCCAGATTAGGGGGTACGTCCCGGACAGTGAACGCTGGCTTGGTGGAAGTGTTCCGTGGAGGTACGTGGGGTGTCGTCTGTAACGATGACTGGGACCTTAGCGACGCAAAAGTGGTTTGTCAGCAACTCGGATTCAAGGGGTAAGTAGGTTTTTAAACCTATTTTGTTAGCGGTCAACTTACGACAAATGAGCTCTCCGACATTGAGCAGTTAACTTTCTATATTTACATTTGCATGACATTGTCACTATATAGCCTCTTTGAAAGCTGTGTCGTTGATGGGACTTCAATTACCATGCCGCACGAGACATAATTACCATGCCGCACGAGACACAATTCCTAGCGTATTAATTACAACACTGACCGGAACTACAACATCCAATGTAAATAAACATGACGGCTGCTGAAATATCGCTGGGCATTGTGAGATTTGATAATGTCATTGTAAATTGATGTGCAAAATAAAAAATAAAATAAAAAACACTTTTATTACAACGAAAACAAGACCAAGGTCTGCAATATCGTACAAAATGCACATCGGTTGAAATCACCAATGCCGGCAATGGAAACAATTTTAACGCTCATGCAATTTATCAGAAATATCGTCTGTTACACTGCACTGATCAACAGGGGTTCGTTATAAATGTCTGAAATACACATATTCTATAGACCTACTGACACATATGTTACAGACCTACTGATATGAGTCACAGCACACATAAACATTCGTCATTTCAGACATTTGTAACGAACCTGTGCTCCGTCGCAAGATCACTCACTTCAAACGCTATCAGTTTCACGCGTCTCGGATCCACGGTTCCTCAGTTTCAGACGACATGTCAAATAACGATGCTGTTATAGAATCTACCGACTGTTGTCGGGTTCCCATACAATCAACAAATACATTCACGCCTGGATTCTTCACAAAATGAGCAAAGAGAAAAGTTCGAATTAACTTCCAAAAATAACTCCCTCGTGGAGGTCAAGGTCCCATTCACGGTGTTCACTGTATTTATCCATGCGCGAAATTTGTTCCGGGGGAAAATCGAAACAATTTCAAATCTAACTTTCAGCTCAGATTTCTATTGAAAAACTGGAATCACCCTATAGACATATCATACGCAATTGTATTGATACTAAATTGTGGAATAAATTTGAAGTGTTTGTTAAAATATCAAAGTACTACTTTGTTTGCCAATCAGCACGCGACAATACGCTGTTCAAACTATTGAACGAAATTGTGTGGACTGTCGATAAGGCGGGCATTTTTAATTTTAATTATAAATTATAAGTTAAAAAAGAACATCAGAGGCAGAGAAAACGTAAATATAAGTATTGAACTGTTTTTGTATGGTATTTATGATCTATTTGAATGACACAGCTTTGCAAGCAAACAAATCATAATGCGCGCTAGTTCAATGCTAAGTAACACGAACGATTAGCTACAATCAAATAAGTATGTTGATGACAGAAGTGACCTTAGAAGGCCTGGTGACAGAATATAAACCTAACTTCCGAGAAAACAGAATATAAACCTAACTTCCGAGAAAACATTTTCAATCAGACTACAAGAAAACGTAACAATTTAACGGAACGTGTATTAGTCGGCCCTTATACGGTAAAATGACTTACAGACTGACCCTAATGTACAGGTACTGCGGAAGACATACTACGTAATCATTATGCTTATAATCAGGGGTGCTCTGGCAGCTTTGGAAGAAACAGCGTATGGAACGGCAGGATGGACAGATGATGACATTCTGATGAACAACATAAACTGTATGGGCTATGAAAGCAGGGTGCAGGAGTGTCAGTATGGCGCCATCAACTTCTGTCCGGTAACAGAGGCAGCGTCGGTCATGTGTAAAAATAACACAGGTACGTCATGTGTAAACCTAACACATATATGTCATGTGTAAACATAACACAGGTATGTCATGTGTAAACATACCACAGGTATGTCATGTGTAAACATAACACAGGTATATCATGTGTAAACATAACACATGTATGTCACGTGTAAACATAACAAAGGTATGTCATGTGTAAACATAACACAGGTATATCATGTGTAAACATAACACATGTATGTCATGTGTAAACATAACACAGGTATTTCATGTGTTAACATAACACAGGTATGTCATGTCTAAACATAACACAGCCACGTCATGTGTAAACATAACACACGTATGTCATGTGTAACTATAACACAGGTATGACATGTGTAAACATAACACGGGTATGTCATGTGTAAACATAACACAGGTATTTCATGTGTTAACATAACACAGGTATGTCATGTGTAAACTAACACAGGTATGTCATGTGTGAACATAACACAGGTATGTCATGTGTAAACTAACACAGGTATGTCATGTGTGAACATAACACAGGTATGTCATGTGTAAACATAAAACAGGTATGTCATGTGTAAACATAACACATATAAGTCATGTGTAAACATAACACAGCCACGTCATGTGTAAACACAGGCATGTCATGTGTAAACATAACACATGTATGTCATGAGTAAACATAACACAGGTATGTCATGTGTAAACATACCACAGGTATGTCATGTGTAAACATAACACAGGTATATCATGTGTAAACATAACACATGTATGTCATGTGTAAATAAAACACATGTATGTCATGTATAAACATAACACATGTCATGTGTAAATATAACCCATGTCATGTGTGAATATAACACAGGTATGTCATGTGTAAACATACCACATGTATGTCATGTGTAAACATAACACATGTATGTCACGTGTAAACATAACACAGGTATTTCATGTGTTAACATAACACAGGTATGTCATGTCTAAACATAACACAGGTATGTCATGTGTAAATATAACACAGGTAAGTCATGTGTAAACATAACACAGCCACGTCATGTGTAAACATAACACACGTATGTCATGTGTAAAAATAACGCATGTATGTCATGTGTAAACATAACACAGGTATATCATGTGTAAACATAACACATGTATGTCAGGTGTAAACATAACACAGGTATGTCATGTGTTAACATAACACAGGTATGTCATGTGTAAACAAAACACAGGTATGTAATGGTTAAATATAACACAGGTATGTCATGTGTAAATATAACACAGGTAAGTCATGTGTAAACATAACACAGCCACGTCATGTGTAAACATAACACAGGTATGTCATGTGTAAACATAACACATATATGTCATGTGTAAACATAACACAGCCACGTCATGTGTAAACATAACACAGGTATGTCATGTGTAACTATAAGACAGGTATGTCATGTGTAAACATAACACGGGGATGTCATGTGTAAACATAACACAGGGATGTCATGTGTTAACATAACACAGGGATGTCATGTGTAAACATAACACAGGGATGTCATGTGTAAACATAACACATATATGTCATGTGTAAAAATAACACAGCCACGTCATGTGTAAACATAACACAGGTATGTATTTTGTAAACATAAAACAAGTACGATATGTGTAAACATAACACAGGTACTTCATGTGTAAATCTTATACAGGTATGTCATGTTTTAATCCTAGTCCAGCTATGTCATGTCTAAGGTAAATATAGCACAGATATGTCAAATGTGTAAATCTAACACAGGAATGTCATGTTAAATATAACACAACAATGTCATTAATCGAACACAGGTAACTCTAGTGCTTCATATTTTATGTGCCTTTGTCCAATTTATATTGCCTGTAAATGCCAACTGAAAGTAGTTCAATTCTTATATTTACCATTTTTGGAATATGTTAATCTCGTACCAAATTAAAATTAACGTTTCAAAGTTATGCATTTAGCCCAAATTAGCGTTTTTTATCCTTTGTTCTTTTTCACTGAATAGAACAGTCACCTATCAGGCACGTCGGTGGTTTCCAATAATACAACTATGACGTCATATGAAGGTGTCAACAATTGGATCGAGGCATTCATAGCTTATATTAATGCCATATGAATGTGTGAAGGTTATGTAACAATGCCATACAGTGGAGAAAATTTCAGAATAAGAATGAGGATTGGTTAATATTATAATACTTGTATGTATGTATATTGTAATTAAAAAATGTGGAAGAACAGGGGTTAAAATTGTTTTAATTACTGGATATAAGGTTATTGTATTGAGAGTGGTTTCCTTACAGGATGTGAAGATGGCTGGATTGCAGGTCCAGACTCGTGTTATCAGTTCAACAGTCCGAATAAGCCTGTAAAATCTGTGAAACAGGTGTTGAGCAAGTGCGCCCGGACAGGTGGTCATCTGGTCAACATTGAGACAGAGAAAGAGAACCACTTCCTGTCCAATACACTACAGCTACTGTATCCAGGTAACCACACTTCCTGTCACATGTCATTCTTTGTAGACTGGCCCCCCCCCCCCCCCCCCCCGTCTATAAAATAACTAACAATTTTGATCACTTGGATGTCTGATTCTAAACTAGGGGGAGATAAGCTAATAATAAAATGCAGCTGGGAAACTCTTGGGCTGGCAGCCAGTCTACATTCTTCTATACAGTTCATTGTTTCCATCACTACTTGCTAACATTAAATGATAAAAGGTATCACATGAGGGGGCCAGACTATATTACTCATTAAGGTAGGTTAGTTGGAAGGAAAACCCTTATTTTATCCCCCTGGCTTGACAGGTTATTTGTATTTCACACAAAGACCTATTACACCAAGGTTACATTTTTAAGGGGATATCAAACCTGCTTCTTCAATCTTTTAAGAGTTGAAACGCTTTCGGCTTCCTGGTCAACTGAAGATTGATTTTAAAAAAGATTGATTTTACATTGGTCTATGGTTCACATCAGAAAACTTCACTCATGGCATTACCTTGGTGTTTTTTAGATTCAGATGTGTGGCTAATTGGAGGTAAGATACACAGAGGAAAATGGTACTGGGAGAAACACGTCACCAGAACATCACCAGGAACGAAAAAACCAAAAGTGCCAAAAAAAACTAAAACGCCAAAGAAACCAAAGAAACCAAAGAAACCAGGAAATAGAGGAAACCCCGGGGGACCACAGACAACTACCACACCCAGACCAGGTAGACACCCTCGGCCCCGACCTGGACCAAAAAGACGGCCAGAGACTGACCCTCGCCGCCATAACAGACACACACAAAGAGGGAAGAAACCTAAAAATAGATCAAAGAGAGCTCCCAAAAAGAAGAAGAAGCAAGGTGGTTTGAAAATGGAAAGGAGTCCGATGGTGTTTAAGAAATGGTATCCAGGTATGAGTTGTGAAAATAGATGTAATTTTATATGGTTTATTAGTATTCGGTAACTAGTCTCTTGTGATGGCTTTATCATCTGTATTGAGTTTAATTTAGTTGTTGGCAGAATTCATATTGCTTAACTGTTAAATGTGTAAACTGATAATCAGAATTACCTAATTGTAATCAACGTATCAAAGATACTGGTGTGTCAGTCAAATATGTGATGAGTTAATCAATCAAATCCTAATTAGTATTATTGTACTGTTAACTAGGAACCCTTTTCAAAAAATAGGAGATACAAGTTACAGTAAGGTTACACAATGATATCTATCCTGAAACCCCTTACAGGCTGGGTGCCCACACTGGAGGGGAAGGAGCCGTCCCGTGGTAGGAAAGAGTACTGTATGGTACTGAACAACCTGTATGACCGCCCCGATGTCTCAGTAAAACAGCTTCTGGACTACTACTACTGGGACAATGTACAGTGTAAGAGGAGGACTGGCTTTAATTACATCTGTGAGAAACCCAAGAGTGTTGCTGCCCTCCGCAGTGCCAATATAGGTGTGTATTACTGTGATCAGAAATGGTCATTACTGATATATGTTTATATTACTGTGAATTAATCATTATATTAAGGATCATCAGAAAAAAACACAATTTCACTTAAAATCTTAATAATAAATTATTGAATATTTGCTTCATGAAATAGATACTCTACATTCTAAATGTCTTCCTCAAACAAATAGTCAGTATATGTACATGGAAATAATTCTCAAGAAATTGAATGGAGTGCAGGATGAATAATACAACTTTTTTGGGAAAAAACCCACCAATTTGTAATTTGTTGTTGTTTATGACTCAATCTTACCTGAAGTTTTTGTGAGGATTTACAGGAAGGTCTCCAAATGCAGTTTTACTAAAACGTTTGTTGATTGTGAATTTGATAGACTGTTATGAAGAAAATGGAGCAGGTTATCGTGGAACCATGGATATGACAATCAAAGGTACTCGTTGTCTGAATTGGACTGATTCTCAACACATCAACCCTGAGACTCACCCTGACAAGGTAAGAACATTGTACAAGTTGAGCATATTGATGGGGAGGACTTAAGAACCATGAGATAATAGATAGCAAAGTGATCCTTTAGATTCCTGCATTGATATAGACAAATATATAGGGATAATCTTTTGTGCAGTGGCATCTTTACAAGTTAAGTATTCACTTGTACCTTAAATGTCTAGTCCTACTTAAAGATATATCGAGTACTATACATGACATATTTGTGCATTCGTCAAATTACACACAAAAAAACACTTTTATATTCTATCACAGGGACTTGGTGATCACAACTTCTGCCGTAACCCTGACAACGAGGCGAGACCCTGGTGCTGGGTGAATTTTGCTACTTTTAAATTCGGTTATTGTCCTCTGATGTCCTGTACTGACCAGATTCTTCAGGAGAACTCACCAGATGTTGAAGGTGAGTGCATTTCTTTTACAAATAAGGCTAAGGATATCATTAGCATCAGAATGTGAAGTTCAGCCGAAGCGATAAATTAATAAGAATTTATTTGTTCATATAAATTATACGATAATTGTAAAGTGACTTGCGCTTTTGCGGTATTATGTGTCATGATATTATGCAGACATTTAGATTTTATACAATGAAATAAAATACTTGTATTCCAGAGTGCTGTGAAGGGAATGGTGAAAACTATCGTGGGACGGTTTCCAGGACCATCAGAGGGTCTGAGTGTCAACGTTGGACGCAGTCTGTTCACATAAACCCAGACACCCACCCCGACCTGGTGAGATCTTGTTTCTACCTGTGTACAGGTGTTAGACAATCACTATCCTCCCTGTACCTGTATACAGGTGTTAGACATTCACTATCCTCCCTGTACCTGTACACAGATGTTAGACAGTCACTATCCTCCCTGTACCTGTATACAGGTGTTAGAAGTCACTATCCTCCCTGTACCTGTATACAGGTGTTAGACAATCACTATCCTCCCTGTACCTATATACAGGTGTTATACCTCTGTACATGTGTAAGACTACACTTCCACTTCCACTTTTGTTTACTAGGGTCTGGGTGACCACAACTTGTGTCGTAACCCTGACAAGTCTGCCAAGCCCTGGTGCTGGACCAATGTGGGTAGGAAAGAGTTTGGATACTGTCCAGTTCCACTTTGTGCTGATGTCCAGACTGACCAGGTCAACTCTACCACTGAACAACCAGGTATCAACCATCAATGTTTCTAGCCAGAAGATTTTGCTATACAAAAATATTTTATCAAAACTAAGTTGTTGTTTTTTTCTGTATTCCAACATCTGCAGTATTGCATACAATTATACTTGATACTTGATAATAGTGACACTTTTATCATTAACAGTTCTGTCAGAGTGTCCAGAGGGGACTTTCTTTTGCTTCACTGAAAGCAAGGCCAGGTAAGTAGAATAAGATGTCATGTTAGATTTCCTGTCTGATGTTTATACTTTGGGTGTGTACAGAAATAGTATTATATTCACTGCAATATCATTTAAAACACTACCAGAGGAAATTGTGTTCATAGAGCTATTTGGATCAGTGTTGTTTTGATGCTTTTTCTCCAAGCTAAAATAGCATGACACCATCATAAGATGCCAACGTTTGATTGATATCAAGATGTTCCAGAAATATGACTTTTGTGTATATGGGTACTTACAGGTGTATATGGGTACTTACAGGTGTATATGGGTACTTACATGTGTATATGGGTATTTACAGGTGTATATGGGTACTTTAAGGTGTATATGGGTACTTACAGGTGTATATGGGTACTTAAAGGTATATATGGGTACTTACAGTTGTATATGGGTACTTACATGTGTATATGGGTACTTACATGTGTATATGGGTACTTACATGTGCATATGGGTACTTACAGATGTATATGGGTACTTACAGGTGTATATGGGTACTTACAGGTGTATATGGGTACTTACAGGTGTATATGAGTTCTTACAGGTGTATATGGGTACATGTACTTACAGGTATATATGGGTACTTACATATGTATATGGGTACTTACAGGTGTATATGGGTACTTACAGGTGTATACCAGATACTTTTCAGTGTGATGGAGAAAATGACTGCACTGGTGGTGAGGATGAAGAAAATTGTGGTAAGTCACATCAATAGATCTCAGCCAATTACATGCAGTCTCACAAACATGTCTTAATGACATTTGATTAGTGCTGGCTTGACCGTCTATGTTAATTAATCATTTTTCATTGAGTGAAATCTGTCCTTTTTGAAAGGGAATTCATCTACTATCTTTCCTTTTTATTGTCAAACGTTTTGTTTCACGTCCCCCTGTAACAAAGTGATATCCTGGTTGTATACTGGTATCAGACGTCCCACATCTGTATTGTATCTCTTCACAGATGAGATGCTCTCGGACAACTATAGTTGTACGGGCACATCGTAGAATTTACCACTCTCATTGGTAATTGTAAGGGTGTGTTGTAGAATTTACCACTCTCATTGGTAATTGTAAGGGTGTGTTGTAGAATTTACCACTCTCATTGTTAATTGTAAGGGGGTGTTTAGAATTTACCACTCTCATTGGTAATTGTAAGGGTGTGTTGTAGAATTAAAACTCCCATAGGTAATTTTACAGGTGTATCAGGAAGACTAATACTATTTCTTCCTACAGAGGTATTGCTCTTTCTGTTAGAGCTTTGATCAGGCATCTGTAGTGATTTGAACAGGAGGGAAGGCACATATAGATGTGCGTAGGTTTTTTTAACTTAACTTTAATTGACTGCATGACAGTTGTGATCTTGATTGTATAAACGTTTTAGAAATGAACTAAATGCTTGGAGAAAATGCTGAGATATTAAACGGACAGATGAACTCTTAGTCAATACAACTTTGATTCCACAATAAAAGTATTAACAATATAAAAAACATATTTTCACTTTAAATACAGTGAACAAAACTGGATGTTTGAAAGATTATTTACGTTTGACAGCAGACTGATTCAGTCTTTATGCTGAGTTAAAGACTGGCTGTGTAAATCAGGTAGGACTGTTTCCAAATGTGGAGTAATCCAGATAGCAGTTCTAGATCCCTAAGACAATACTCTTGTTGTATTGTATTATAATAAGATTGCCTTATGAAAAAGATTCATGTGTTTGATGTGTTCTACTTTGTACAGAATACAAGGTTCCGCAGTTTGAAAAGTATGCAGATACTATTTTGAATGCTACTAGATTGGAAGATTACTTACATATTCCTATAGAAAAGGTAAAAGTTATTTATCTTTGTTTTCAAACTATTTTATTTCAATACATGAGTACAGTATATAAAATTATACAAGAAAAAATTCATACAAACACATTTTAGAAATAAAAATTTGAAATTATGAAATGTTTCTCAGGAACTATGGAATCTGAATTACTGGCGATACGGCCTTATTAACTATTAGTTGTGATAATAGAACATTAGAATGAATTAAGAAACTCTCTAAGATACTTATCCACGAAGTATGTGGAGGTTACAGTAGTGTTGCTGTTGACAGTGTGCCATGAAGTGTCTGGAGACAAGAGAGTTCGTGTGTCGTTCCTTCAGCTATAACAGAGAGATGCGGTCATGCTTCCTCACTGACGTCAACACACATGTCGCCATAGACACTGACGTAGAACCATCCACTGAATACGACTTCTATGAATTATCATCACAAACAGGTAACTTGTTGCATATATGTAAACTGATACATGTATCTGGAAAAAAATTACCAGGATTTTTGTGCGACTGAAACAGACCATCCACCTAAAAATCATGTCGCAGATATGCTTATAAAGCTCTTTCAAAAAGGTTTTGTTAAATGGCCATATTCTGAACCTTTTTGGCATAGTTTTGGCATGTGTAAGTGTAACATGAAAGATGATAAAAGTGAGATTATTATTAGGTTAAATTATGAATAAGTTGCACAAAAGATAACATTTTATTCGAACAATCTAAACTTGTGTTGTTCCCATGGATCTAATTATTGTACCCCCCGCAACGAAGTTAGGAGGGTTATACTGGAATTAGCTTGTCTGTCTGTTTGTCTGTCTGTCTGTAGAAAAAGTTTGTCCGGACAACTTCTTCTAAAGTAATGGGCCAATTTCAACCAAACTTTCCACATATGATAAATACCACCTGAAGTTGTGCATCCAGGCATTTTTTTTTCTTTCTAACCCTTTTGAACGAAGTAATGGCCCTTTGTTAAAAATTCCTGAAACTTTTTGTCCGGACAACTCCTTCTAAAGTTATTGATCCATTTCAACAAAAGTTTCCAGATATGATAACTACCACCTGAAGTAATGTCCCTTTGTTGAAAAATACTTCTCCATACAACTCTTCCAACACTTTGCTCCCAATTTCAACGGAATATATCAGATATGATAACTTCCACCTAAAGTTGTTCATCCAGGTATATTTTTCAAACCCTTTTATGGAGTTATGGCCCTTTGTTGAAAAATTGTTGTCCTGACAACTTCTCCTAATCTACTGGGCCAATTTTGAAGAAAGTTTACAAATATGGCAACTGTCCCTTGACGTTGTGCATCCAAGAAGTACTTTTTCATTCCGACCCTTTTAAAAGGAGTTATGGCCCTTTGTTGAGAAAAAAACTTTGTCTACCTCCTAAACTACTAGGCCAATTTCAATGAAAGTTTACAGATATACTAATAATCCCCTGATGTCGTGCATCAGTGTAGTATTTTTTTCATTTCAATCCTTTTTAAGGAGTTATGTCCCTTTGTTAAAAATCTTTGTCCTGTCATCTCTTCCTTTACTACTAGGACGAATTTAGCAAAATAGTTCATCTGGGCTAACAAAATTCCGTTTGCAAGTATGTTGTGGCATTGAGAGGGAGTACAGGAAGTATGTGAGTGACATATATACTTAAATAAGTGTACAGCTCAGCCAAAAAGAAATCATTACTGGTGGGAGACTATATTGCTTTGCAATGCTTTGCCTTAGTAAGCCTTTAGCTTACAGTTATGGTTTATATAGGAGCGGGGGTATTAGTTAGCCTTTGGCTTTCAGTTCTAGTTTATATTTCCCCTAAACATTAGGATTGATAAATTTTTATATCAGAAAACACAGAGATCAGTATTTTATGGAAGTTTTAAATCTCTGAAAAAGGTAGTATTCTTCAATAATGAAATATTTTCTGAGAGTTTCAGCAGGCGGGTCTAGCAGTACATGTTATTTTTCAGCTGACTGCTACAACATGTTTCTGTGCGGTAATGGACGTTGTATTGACAACCAACTCCTGTGTAACAGTGTAGACGATTGTGGGGATTTTAGTGATGAAAACAATGGGAACTGTGAACGTAAGTTATACCCAATATTTCTTCATGCATGTATAATTATATACAACATCAGCCTGTCATGTGGATAGCCATCTAAGTGCTTATAAACAAAGTATAAATATTGCTACTGTTAAACTTAATGTGAAGTATTGGTAAATCTGGTGGTTACTTAACAAGCATGAAAATGTACACATGCTAACTAACATACTGACACATAAAATACATTCACATGCCAATCAGTATGATGCTGTACATGTATCTATGTGAAATAAAATCAAATAAAGAACAGCTTGAGAGAAACATTCTAATACTGCGGTTTGTCCAGAGAGTACATAAATATAGTTCCATATCTTCACCAAACTTACCATGTTGATGTATCCTGGGTTGTATATTAAGTTACTTTTTAAGTCTAAATAACATATTTAGTTACTTTTGTTTAGTATAAATAACATATTTAGTTACTTTTGTTTAGTCTCTGAAGTCTGAAAACAATACCACAATGGATACATCCTTCAGTAAGACTATGGATTACTTGCCGTGGTAGTGTATAAATCCCATTTTGTAACTGTTCTGTTTTGTGATATCCCAGAGACTACGCCTGACAGTGGGGCCGGTGGTGGTGGGGCGGGGCAGCCACTGGAGGTGAGGATGGTAGATGGAGACAAGGAACACTCCGGTCGGGTGGAGATCCGCTACAAGGGAGAGTGGGGTGTGATCTGTGATGACAAGTGGGACATCAACGATGCCAGGGTTATCTGTCGGATGCTGGGGTATAAGTAAGTTATAGAAATTCAAGACCCTTTTAATTACCGTAAATATGTGTGTAAGTAAATTACAAAGGAATTATTCAAGTGTGGAGCAAAACCTTTTTATAAAGGCATCAACGAATCCGTAAAATTCTATCTCAAAGTCGAGAATGACATATATGTACTAATTAAGGTTATTAATTAATATCATGATTGACTGTTCAACATCTTCAACACAGTTATAACTACAGTCACTTAGATTATTTCACACTAGTTTGAGGTCACTAGTAACAATGGGCATGATATACAGATAATTAATGTTTCCAAAATTACCTCCAAATTTGCAGAAAACAGTCTTTAAGATTATCTTTGAAATACCTGATAGTTAAAGGTCATCCTTGGGAAGCTAGAGAACAAACTTGTTCAATGTCATACTCATGATGCTAGCCCATCATTGAGAACATCTTAAAGGTCATCTTTTAAGATACTTGAAATATCTGTTTATTAAAGGTGGTGTTTTTTTAATGATCTAAATAAAAAAAAATGCCATACATTGGGCAATGTCTGTATTATAAAAAAAAAAGGAAGAGAAATGTGCTGATTATTTTGGAATGGATTGGATTGAGATCTGTGATGATTTAATGTAGTAATGCTGTACAGCTGATTGGTTTGTTAAACAGTGATGCTAATAGGGCCATCCACATGTCAGAGTTTGGGTCAGGCAATGGAAATTTCCTGTTGGATGATGTTGGTTGTGTTGGAAATGAAACAACAATTGAAGACTGTTCTAAGCCGAGGTGGAAGGAACACAACTGTAAACATTATGAAGTAGCAGGAGTGGAGTGCAACTCAGGAAAGGGCATCGGTAAGTACACATCACATCAGAGGGCATTGGTAAGTACACATCACAGCAGAGGGCATAGGTAAATACACATCACATCAGAGAGCATTGGTAAGCACATGTTACATCAGAGGGCATTGGTAAGCACACATCACATCAGAGGGCATTGGTAAGCACATGTTACATCAGAGGGCATTGGTAAGCACACATCACATCAGAGGGCATTGGTAAGTACACATCCCATCAGAGGGCATTGATAAGTACACATCTCATCAGAGGGCATTGGTAAGTACACATCTCATCAGAAGGCATTGGTAAGTACATATTACATCAGAGGGTATTGGTAAATACACATCTCATCAGAGGGCATTGGTAAGTACATATTACATCAGAGGGCATTGGTAACTACACATCACATCAGCGGGCATTGGTAAATACACATCACATCAGAGGGCAATGGTAAGTAAACATCACATCAGAGGGCATTGGTGAGTACATATATTATCAGAGGGCATTGGTAAGCACACATCACATAAGTGGGCAATGGTAAGCACACATCACATCAGCAGGCATTGGTAAGCACATATTACATCAGAGGGCATTGGTAAGCTCATATTATATCAGAGGGCATTGGTAAGCACATATTACATCAGAGGGCATTGGTAAATACACACCTCATCAGAGGGCATTGGTAAGTAAGTACACATCACATCAGAGGACATTGGTAAGTACACATTACATTAGAGGGCATTGGTAATTAATAAAACACAATAGAGGGCATCAGTAAGTAAATACCACATCAGAGGGAATTGGTAAAAAAACTAACATACAAAGGTGAATTGGTAAAAAAACGAATACACCAAGGAAAATTGGTCAAAAACTAATACACTAAGGGGAATTGGTAAAAAACCAGCCCACTTGAGGGAATAAGTAAAACAAAACATAGTGAATTCATATGTATACATCATAAAAGATTACATTGAATATCCCAAATACAATGTATGATAAATTATATTTCTTTAGAGGGTTGCGTAGTTGGAACATATCACATTCCGTAACTCATGTCATTGGTGTTAAACTCTGAAAGGCTTCACTAAAAGTCTCTTCTATTCCTCAGTTTGTGTGAGTGGGGAGTTCAGCTGTACTAAGTCAGAGAAGTGTATTACAGCCTCCCTGGTGTGTAACGGTGAAGATGACTGTGGAGATCAGACTGATGAACAGGACTGTGGTAAGTATTGGTAGACTGTGGTATATACTGGTAGATGTGGTATGTATGGTAGACTGTCGTATGTATGGTAAAATGTGGTATGTACTGGAAGACTGGTATGTACTGGGAGACTGTGGTATGTATTGGTAGACTGTGGAATATATTGGTAGACTGTGGTAAGCTTTGGTAGACTGTGGTATGTATTGGTAGACTGTGGTAAGTATTGGTAGACTATGGTATGTATTGGTAGACTGGTAAGTATTGGTAGACTGTGGTATGTATTGGTAGACTGTGGTAAGCTTTGGTAGACTGTGGTATGTATTGGTAGACTGTGGTAAGCTTTGGTAGACCTGAAATGTACTGGTAGACTGTGGTATGTATTGGTAGACTGTGGTAAGTATTGGTAGATTATGGTATGTATTGGTAGACTGGTAAGTATTGGACAGACAGTCTGGAGACAATTTGATGTTATAATGATAATTTCTGACATTTGTACAGTTCCACAAGTAACTTTGGTTGGAGGCACTTCAGAAAGAAATGGACGTGTTGAGGTCACCTTGAACGGAGTGGCAGGCTCAATATGTGATGACCTCTGGGACGACAGTGACGCCAGTGTGGTCTGTAGAATGCTGGGATTTCAGTAAGATATCTTTGTTTTCTCTTTTGAAAAATTTTGGTTAGCAGGGAGTAGTGTGGCAGGTTTTGATTTTAATGGGATTAAGGTCGCCTTCTAGCTTTGAGCTAGAGGGAATTTCCCTTTAGCTCAGTGGTAGAGCGTCCGACTGTGAACCTTGAGATCGAGGGTTTGATCCCCGTTGGAAGCACACTATTCTCTTTCCTGTTACACTAGTATATATCATGATTTGTAAACACAACTGACAGGTCTGGTGGTCTGGCCAAAAAGGAAACTTATGGCGCAGGGAAGGGTGTAATCTGGATGGACGATGTGGAATGTACCGGGGAGGAGGAGTCGCTGGCTGATTGTAGACGTAAAGCCTGGGGGACACATAACTGCAACCATGACGAAGATGCAGGCGTATTATGTCTCCTACAGGCTCCAACAACTTCTACACCTGAATTAAGTAAATATACTACATACATACAGTTATTTAACTAACTAACACACCTAAGGCAACCACAATCCCTTAACTGTATTCTGCAATCAGTAGTTATAGTTTGAACCTTCCAGTGATGGTGATAGTTTAGAGTGACCTTATACTGACCTCCTGTCTGTCCTCCCTAGCCATATCTAGAGTGACCCTATACTGACCACCTATCTATCTTCCCTAACCATATTTAGAGTGACCCTATACTGACCTCCTGTCTGTCCTTCCTAACCATATCTAGAGTGACCCTATACTGACCTCCTATCTATCTTCCCTAACCATATTTAGAGTGACCCTATCCTGACCACCTGTCTGTCCTTCCTAACCATATCTAGACTGACCCTATACTGACCACCTGTCTATTCTCCCTAACCATATCTAGAGTGACCCTATACTGACCATCTGTCTGTCCTCCCTAACCATATCTAGAGTGACCCTATCCTGACCACCTGTCTGTCCTTCCTAACCATATCTAGAGTGACCCTATACTGACCTCCTATCTATCTTCCCTAACCATATTTAGAGTGACCCTATCCTGACCACCTGTCTGTCCTTCCTAACCATATCTAGAGTGACCCTATACTGACCTCCTATCTATCTTCCCTAACCATATTTAGAGTGACCCTATCCTGACCACCTGTCTGTCCTTCCTAACCATATCTAGAGTGACCCTATACTGACCGCCTGTCTGTCCTCCCTAACCATATCTAGAGTGAACCTATACTAACCACCTGTCTGTCCTCCCTAACCATATCTAGGGTGACCCTATACTGACCACCTGTCTGTCCTCCCTAGCCATATCTAGAGTGACCCTATACTGTCCACCTATCTATCTTCCCTAACCATATTTAGAGTGACCCTATCCTGACCACCTGTCTGTCCTTCCTAACCATATCTAGACTGACCCTATACTGACCAACTGTCTATTCTCCCTAACCATATCTAGAGTGACCCTATACTGCCCACCTATCTATCTTCCCTAACCATATTTAGAGTGACCCTATCCTGACCACCTGTCTGTCCTTCCTAACCATATCTAGAGTGACCCTATACTGACCGCCTGTCTGTCCTCCCTAACCATATCTAGAGTGACCCTATCCTGACCACCTGTCTGTCCTTCCTAACCATATCTAGAGTGACCCTATACTGACCGCCTGTCTGTCCTCCCTAACCATATCTAGAGTGAACCTATACTAACCACCTGTCTGTCCTCCCTAACCATATCTAGACTGACCCCACACTGACCAACTGTCTATTCTCCCTAACCATATCGAGAGTGACCCTATACTGACCACCTGTCTGTCCTTCCTAACCATATCTAGAGTGACCCTATACTGACCGCCTGTCTGTCCTCCCTAACCATATCTAGAGTGAACCTATACTAACCACCTGTCTGTCCTCCCTAACCATATCTAGACTGACCCCACACTGACCAACTGTCTATTCTCCCTAACCATATCGAGAGTGACCCTATACTGACCACCTGTCTGTCCTTCCTAACCATATCTAGAGTGACCCTATACTGACCTCCTGTCTGTCCTTCCTAACCATATCTAGAGTGACCCTATACTGACCTCCTATCTATCTTCCCTAACCATATTTAGAGTGACCCTATCCTGACCACCTGTCTGTCCTTCCTAACCATATCTAGAGTGACCCTATACTGACCTCCTGTCTGTCCTCCCTTACCACTAAAGTGAGCCTATACTGACCACCTGTTTGTCCTCCCTAGCAATACAAGTGGAGTTGGAGGATGGTACTGACATGGAGGGTCGCCTGGTGGCTACTGTAGGGGGGACTCGAGGAACAGTGTGTGATGACCTATTTGATGACAATGCTGCCACTGTTGTCTGTCGGATGCTTGGATTCCCAGTGTAAGAGTACACCATCATTGATAATCCAGTCAATTCAGTCACCTTCATTGATAATCCAGTCACCGTCATTGATAATACAGTCACTATTATTGATAATCCAGTCACCATCATTGATAATCCAGTCACCTTCATTGATAATCCAGTCACCGTCATTGATAATCCAGTCACCTTCATTGATAATCCAGTCACTATCATTGATAATCCAGTCACTATCATTGATCATCCAGTCACTATCATTGATAATCCAGTCACCATCATGGATAATCCAGTCACCATTCTTGATAAAGTAATGTTGGTGGGTCAGTGAGATGCTTATATACAAGACAGACTGGATTATGTTTGGTTGGATTAATAAAGCTCAAAAGTGTGTCAAAAAAACAATTTGCAAAAGCGAACTTTCTCTAGCATGATAAATGTACAAAGAAATGTAAATGTGAAACTTTGTTAATTACAATGTCAAATCTTTTGCCATTTAAATAAAAAAAAAAAAACTGTCTTTCTATAACCACCAGAAGTCTGATTTGTTAAGCTCATCTGACATTATTTTGACTCTTGACCTTACAGAGGAGTGATAGTAAACTTGGACATGTTTGGGGAGGGTACTGGCGACATTGTATTGGACGATGTGAGATGTGACGGTACAGAAAGGTCACTGTCCAACTGTACCTACAGTACTAGTCACAACTGTGCTCACTCAGAAGATGTAGGTGTGCGCTGTACAGAGGAACACAACCTAGGTTAGTTCACTCAAATGTATGTGAACCAGATATCTTGTTCAGAAAATGATAAATACGAAAATCTCTTCAAATTTTAAAGAACTGTTTTAGTGTTTACATAAATCTTTTTCACAAAAAATCGTGACAATATCTTTTTCAGTCAATTTCATAAAAGTGTTGTAACAGGTCAGATAGTTTGAGATAACAAACGACTGCTTGAAGTTGTTCTCCTAAAATTTGTTCACCTCTAAATTGGGGAAACTGTTCCAGTTGACACAGTATACTTGGTGGGAGGACCAGGGCCACATTCAGGACGGGTCCAGGTCAATTACGATGGCATCAACGGAACTGTATGTGATGACAATTTCGGGGAGACTGATGCCAGAGTTGTGTGCAGTATGCTTGGGTTCAGGTATATAGGATCTATAGGATACAAGTTTAAATTTGATATATCATTAAAGAGCAGGCTTTATTTCAAATTAAAACATTGAAGTTAAAGAATATATCAAATTGATTCTGATGACCATTTTATCATACATGTAAGTCTATCATTTTAGACACCCTTGTGAAAAAGAAAAAAAAATCAAATAACCTTGGCTTTTTTAAGTTTGAGACATTAGAACATTCAGATTCTTTTATATATATATATATATAATTTGATTGATGTCTCTTCAAATAGAAATAATCTACACCAGAATTTTACATTTAAAAAAAGTATAAAAAAAAACCAGGATAACTTCACAGGTATTTGTGTTTAACAAGTTTCAATAAAATGAGATATACACTGCCACAGGGTGGAACATATTTTACTTTGCATCACATGTGATGAATAGGCTGTTTCATTTGTCACATACTCAACGTGAATAATGATGTCATGAATAATTTCTATTCAATTTGAGAAATTAGAAAATTTCAGAATATCCGTTTTAAATGATAACAAAACACTTCTATTTCTAGTCTGACCACTGTTTACAAAAAAGGCAAGCAAATAATATTGTCAAAATCCTTGGTCACTTGTTTATAATCATATCTTTTAAATAGCTTTCAGGTCATCTCAGTTACAAGTTATATGTTCAATACCATTATGTATTTTTGTTGCAGTGGAGGGATGGTTGTTGATGACTACAGTCCTGGGTCTGGCCAGATCTGGCTAGACAATGTGAACTGTGAGGGGACAGAGAAAAGTCTGCTTGACTGTGATAACGGGGGGTGGGGGGAACATGACTGTAGCCATGAAGAGGATGTAAGTGTGGAATGTGACCAGGAGTCAATCACCAGTACCCGCCGCCCCACTGACCCGCCTTCCACACGCCCACCTCAGGACATAGGTATGCTTATCGAGAAAGGGCTCTCTATATTAAAGCATAAATTCTCCTGGTTTTCTAAGTCCAATAGGTCCATTTCAAAAGATATTGAGTAGAAATATTTATACAATTTCATGTATCTTTATTCTTTTGCAAAAAATATTGGATAAAGTTTCAGAACAATAACACAGAAATAAAATACTTTTTCATGAAAAAAGCAGCCCTAAATTCTGCATCAATTGTTCGAGGGTTATGATTACCTTCGGTTTTATCTAGATAGTATCATGCTGGTGAGAGGAGAAGGCCCACATGAAGGTCGGTTACAGATTCTCCATAACAACGTCTATGGTACTGTGTGTGATGATGGATTTGAAGATGTTGAAGCAGGAGTCCTCTGTAGGATGTTAGGATACAGGTAATACAGGGTGATGTTAGGATACAGGTAATACAGGGTGATGTTAGGATACAGGAAATACAAGTTGATGTTAAGATACAGGTAATACAGGGTGATGTTAGGATACAGGTAATACAGGGTGATGTTAGGATACAGGTAATACAAGGTGATGTTAGGATATAAGTGATACAGGGTGATGTTAGGATACAGGTAGGACAGGGTGATGTTAGGATACAGGTAGGACAGGGTGATGTTAGGATACAGATAATACAGGGTGATGTTAGGATACAGGTAATACAGGGTGATTTTAGGATACAAGTAATACAGGTTGATGTTAGGATACAGGTAGGACAGGTTGATGTTAAGATACAGGTAGGACATCTTGATGTTAGGATACAGAAAGGACAGGTTGATGTTAGTGACAGGTAGGACAGGTTGGTGTTAGGGTACATGTAGGACAGGTTGATGTTAGAATACAGGTAGGACAGGTTGATGTTAGGATACAGAAAGGACAGGTTGATGTTAGGATACAGAAAGGACAGGTTGATGTTAGGATATAGGTAATACAGGATGATGTTAGGTGTGGGATTGTAAATGTAGGAGGTGATGATGAGGATTTTAGGATACATGTATAGGATGACAAATTATACAGATATAGGATGATTGAGTGTTGTTGATCGATAGTTAACATATGGGAGGATGGTGAGTAATCCTTTTAGGACTGTTACAGAATTAACTATAGTTGGGTGGTGTGACATTTTTTTTCAGAGATACCCCCACCCATAAAATCTTGAAAGTGATTTAATGCAAGGAGCGGTAGGCAGATCTGGTTTTAACCCCACCACCCATCATATATTAATACAAGTGCCTCCCGCCTTCCCCATACACTCCATTATGGAATAGTCATAAGATATTAAGGAACAGTTATAGGATATGATAATGCTTTGTTTATGATAAATAAAAGGTTGAAGATCAAGATTTCTCAGAAATATCATCTAGAAACATTGGAAGATAAAAAAAATATTCAGATAAAGTGTTCATTTGATACATAGAGGAATTACCGTAATGATGGCAACATGATGTTCCCACCTTTGTCAGACATATCAGTTTGTAGCTGTATTGTCAACCCTTTTACCATAAGGACAATACTATGCAGGTGAGATTGGTTGTCCTGTAACCTCTGTTATAGGGATGGTTATGTTGTGGCCACAGAGTATTTTGGTCCTGGTGTAGGTGAGATCTGGTTAGATGACTTGGATTGTGACGGCACAGAGTCCAGTATATTTGACTGTGGTGGTGTTGAGTGGGGAGTCCATAACTGCAACCATGGTGAAGATGTCGGTGTAAAATGTTTGCAACATCTTACTACCACCACTGAAATAGTAGGTAAGTAAAATTCCTTGTCAATTCTCTAGTGCACTAGGCTACCAAGTTAAGTTTGCTCCCTACTGTATACATTGTTCACGAAAAAATCGTGAGATAATCAAAAATTAATTCAGCAGTATAACACAAGGAATTCAGTTTCTGATCATTGGTTTCCAAGATATAAGGAACCATTCTGAAAAATAGTGGTGTCTAAAAAATGTGATAATGTCTCGTTTGCTGTAGACACGATGAGCCTGGTTGGAGGGACAGGTCCCTATGAAGGCACGGTTGTCGTCCACCATGGTGGTGTAGCAGGAACCGTGTGTGATGATGGATTTGATGCAGTAGAAGCAGGGATAATATGTAGAATGCTGGGATTTAGGTAGGATTTCAGTAAATCATTCATTTCAGTGTCTATAGGTTTGTTGTCAAACAGGCTGAAGCTTTAAGTTTCACATCTTAAATCTGAGGAGCTACATCAAGTTGAAGACTAAATACTTTACTTATTGGTAATTTAAAAATGTATATATTCAAGCACAAAGGTAGAAAAAAAAATGCAAATGCAAGGATTCAATTTACATGTTCCTGATTTAAAAAATTGTACAGAATATGGCTTAAAGAAACTTTGAAACAAAAAAAATGTCTTTTTTAAAATGTGATTTTGTTTGTATAACAGAGATGGAACTCCTGTTGACCAGGGCACATTTAACCGTGGTGACGGTGAGATCTGGCTTGATAACTTAGAATGTACGGGAGAGGAGAACACACTGTGGGAGTGTGCACACAACGGCTGGGGGGTACACAACTGTAACCATGGTGAGGATGTTGGGATCACATGCACCAATGAAGTACCAGTGTCCACCACACCAAAACCAGGTACACCCGTTTATTTCTTTACATTTGAATGAGAGACAGGTAAAATAACCTCATATATATATGTTTTCTTGTTTGATGTGATTTATAAGGTCTCCTAATTACCTAATATATTAGAATAACCTAAGTTTAATCAATGGTTGTAATTTTGTGTACCTTTTCAATGTATTGAGTGTGCCAATACTGTACATGTTCTTTAATTAGTGGTGGTAATGTTTTAGTGGTGATAAATAATATTTTAGATATTTCCATGCTAATTTGAAATTATTTAATTATGATCAACAATAAATATGATTACTAAAACCTGTTACCTGTAACTGAGTGAGATCGGGTTATCTCAGGCGGCGGGGGGCTAAGATCATGTAACATATTTTTTTAGCCCACCATCATCTAATGGTGGGCTATTCAAATCGCCCCGCAACTGTGGTCAGTGGTCCGTGATCTGTCTGTCATTCCGTTCGTCCTTAAACAATTCTTGTTAGCGCTATTTATCATAAAGTACTGGAGGGATCTTTCTCAACTTTCCCATGAAGGTTTCCCATGGTCCCTAGTTATGAATATTGTTTTTTGGGACTAATCACAAAACCAAGATGGCCGACAGCCAGCCATCTTCAATTTGAGAGTTAAAGTTTGTTAGCGCTATTTATCAGAAAGTGCCCGAGGGATATTTCTCATATTTCACATGAAGGGGTTCCCCATTGTCCCTAGTTATGCATATCGGTTTTTTGGGAATGATCACACAACCAAGATGGCCAACAGCCAGCCATCTTTAATTTGAGAGGTAAAGTTTGTTTGCGCTATTTATCAGAAAGGACTGGAGGGATCTTTCTCAAATTCCTCATGAAGGTTCCCCATGGTCCCTAGTTATGCATATCGTTTTTTGGGAATGATCACAAAACCAAGATGGCTGACAGCCAGCCATCTTGAATTTGAGAGTTCAAGTTTGTTAGCGCTTTTTATCAGAAAGTACTGGAGGGATAAAGAAAACAAGATGGCCACAGGAAGAATTTAACAGATCTTTCTCATATTGCAATGATTGGTGCTATTTCTTTAACATTAAGTACTGTACTAGCAAATATGTGAAAAGACAAACTCACTTTAAAGGTTGTCTTTTATACAGAGTAGTATGAGTTACCTCAAGGTGCATTTACTGTTTTGATGTATCGATCAAACAGATAAGAACAGAAATGAATACATCACCGTTTTAAAATTACGCGAAAAGTCATGGAAAGGTGCCAGACAGATCGGATGAGATAGAAAAATCTAGCCTAGGGTATCACGTGGGATATCCCTGTCTGAGGTGTGAAAAATCCCTATTCATGCATGCTATGGAAAGCTGTCATGTTTATCAGTAATTGTAACGTATACAGATTAAATGATATCACTGATGCGCAGAGGTTGAAGTGTTCTATTGCATGCATGTTTACAGTTACCGATCAAAACATCAAAGTTTAGGAAAGATATTTCGCTGATTTTACAGACATTGTGAGACTGGTGGGAGGAACTGGACCACATGAGGGGCGCATCCTGATAGAGCACACTGGTATCAACGGGACAGTTTGTGACGACTCTTTCGAAAACGGAGATGCACAAGTCGTGTGTAGAACTCTGGGATACATGTAAGGTCATGCTATTTTATGAAGAAACTCATCATTTAAGTCATTACAGTATTGGGTTAATATTTTCTAAACTGGTGTCAATTTTTCCTGAGATCCAAATGACTTTATTTGAAGAACATAAAAAGTTGTTGTATTTAATCTTTACTGCAGTACATGTGGTAGGCCTACTAAAGTAAAGTGGCTTAACATCAGTAGGAGATCAGTGCTTTTAAAAGTTAAATGTTAAATATCTTTTGAAAATTTTAAATATTCCTGCTTTTTGGCTCTATTTGATATGACAGAGCAGTTTAAAAAACTGTCAAATGAAAGTAATTATCTGAAATTTCCTCTATCATAATTAAACTACTTTATTCCTTCACCTCAGATTTTGGTTTTTAGGTGTTATTTATATTGAGTGGTCAAAACGCCTTTAGTCAAGCTGTCTTATGATGCAATTTTACTGTTTAGAAATGGAATGAAAATGGATACTGCCAGTTATGGACAAGGGGAGGGTCAGATTTGGCTGGATGATGTGGCTTGTACGGGGGAGGAGACTACTCTGTGGGATTGTCCCGAGCTAAACTGGGGCACACACAACTGTAACCATGGTGAGGATGTCGGGGTGATGTGCACCATGGAAGAGAATCTACCATCAAGTACCACCACAACAGCCATACCATTTACAGGTAATGTCAACATTTACAGGTAATGTCACCATTTACAGGTAATGTCACCATTCATAGGTAATGTCACCATTCATAGGTAATGTCACCACTCACAGGTAATGTCACCACTTACAGGTAATGTCACCACTCATAGGTAATGTCACCACTTACAGGTAATATCACCACTTACAGGTAATGTCACCACTCATAGGTAATGTCACCACTTACAGGTAATGTCACCATTTACAGGTAATGTCACCATTCATAGGTAATGTCACCATTTATAGGTAATATCACCATTCAAAGGTAATGTCACCTTTCAAAGGTAATGTCACCACTCACAGGTAATGTCACCACTCACAGGTAATGTCAACATTTACAGGTGATGTCACCATTCATAGGTAATGTCACCACTCAAAGGTAATGTCACCACTCACAGGTAATACTGTACCACTCACAGGTAATGTCACCACTCGCAGGTAATGTTACCACTAACAGGTAATGTCACCATTCATAGGTAATGTCACAACTCAAAGGTAATGTCACCACTCACAGGTAATGTCACCACTCACAGGTAATGTCACCATTTAGAGGTAATGTCACCATTCATAGGTAATGTCACCATTCATAGGTAATGTCACAATTCATAGGTAATATCACCATTCAAAGGTAATGTCACCATTCAAAGGTAATGTCACCACTCACAGGTAATGTCACCATTCATAGGTAATCTCACCACTCAAAGGTAATGTCGCCACTCAAAGGTAATGTCACCACTGACAGGTAATGTCACCATTTACACGTAATGTCACCATTCATAGGTGATGTCACCACTCAAAGGTAATGTCCCCACTCACAGGTAATGTCTCCATTTACATGTAATGTCACCATTCAAAGGTAACGTCACCACTCACAGGTAATACGGTACCACTCACAGGTAATGTCTCCATTTAAATGTAATCACACCATTCATAGGTAATGTCAAAATTCATAGGTAATATCACCATTCAAATGTAATGTCACCATTCAAAGGTAATGTCTCCACTCACAGGTAATGTCACCACTCTCAGGTAATGTCACCATTTACACGTAATGTCACCATTCATAGGTGATGTCACCACTCAAAGGTAATGTCACCCCTCACAGGTAATGTCACCATTCACAGGTAATGTCACCACTCACAGGCAGGTAATGTCACCATTCATAGGGAATGTCAACATTTACAGGTAATGTCACCACGCACATGTAATGTAACCATTTACGGTAATGTCACCATTCATAGGTGATGTCACCACTCAAAGGTAATGTCGCCACTCAAAGGTAATGTCACCCCTCACAGGTAACGTCACCATTCACATGTAATGTCTCCACTCACAGGTAATACTGTCCCACTCACAGGTAATGTCACCACTTACATGTAATGTCACCATTCGTAGGTAATGTCACCACTCAAAGGGAATGTCACCACTCACAGGTAACGTCACCATTCACATGTAATGTCACCATTCATTGGTAATGTCACCACTCAAAGGAAATGTCACCACTAACAGGTAATGTCACCACTCAAAGGTCATGTCACCACTCACAGGTAATTTCACCATTTACAGGTAATGTCACCATTCATAGGGAATGTCAACATTTACAGGTAATGTCACCATTAATAGGTAATGTCACCACTCACAGGCAAAGTCACCACTCACAGGTAATACGGTACCACTCACAGGTAATGTCACGATTTACAGGTAATGTCACCATTTACAGGTAATGCCACCATTTACATGTAATGTCAACATTCATGGGTAATGTCACCACTTAATGTCACCATTCATAGGTACTGTCACCACTCAAAGGTAATGTCCCCCCTCCCATGTAATACTGTACCACTCACAGATAATGTCACCACTCACAGGTAAAGTCACCATTTACATGTAATGTCGCCATTCATAGGTAATGTCACAATTCATAGGTAATATCACCATTCAAAGGGAATGTCACCATTCAAAGGTAACGTCACCACTCACAGGTAATACGGTACCACTCACAGGTAATGTCAGCATTTACATGTAATGGCACCATTCATAGGTAATGACACCACTCAATGGTAATGTCACCACTCACAGGCAGGTAATGTCACCATTCATAGGTGATGTCACCACTCAAAGGTAATGTCTCCACTCACAGGTAATGTCACCACTCCCAGGTAATGTCTCCATTTTCATGTAATGGCACCATTCATAGGTAATGTCAACATTTACAGGTATTGTCACCATTTACAGGTAATGCCACCATTTACAGGTAATGTCAACATTCATGGGTAATGTCACCACTTAATGTCACCATTCATAGGTACTGTCACCACTCAAAGGTAATGTCCCCCCTCCCATGTAATACTGTACCACTCACAGGAAATGTCACCACTCACAGGTAACGTCACCATTTACATGCAATGTCACCATTCATAGGTAACGTCACCACTCAAAGGTAATGTCGCCACTCAAAGGTAATGTCACCACTAACAGGTAATGTCACCATTTACAGGTAATGTCACCACTCACATGTAATGTAACCATTTACAGGTAATGTCACCATTCATAGGTAATGTCACCACTCACAGGTAATGTCAAAAATCACAGGTAATGTCACCATTCAAAGGTAATGTCACCACTAACAGGTAATGTCACCACTCAAAGGTAATGTCACCACTCACAGGTAATGTCACCATTTACAGGTAATGTCAACATTCATGGGTAATGTCACCACTCACAGGTAATGTCAAAAATCACAGGTAATGTCACCATTCAAAGGTAATGTCACCACTAACAGGTAATGTCGCCACTCACAGGTAATGTCACCACTTACAGGTAATGTCACCACTCACAGGTAATGTCACCATTCATAGGTAATGTCACCACTCAAAGGTTATGTCACCACTCACAGATACTGTCACCATTTACAGGTTATGTCACCATTTACATGTAATATCACCATTTTCAGCCACAACCACAAGTTAGGGGAGATAGAGACCCTACAACCACAGGTAAGGGGAGATAGATACCCTACAACTACTGGTTAGGGGAGATAGTGACCCAACAACCACAGTTCAGGGGAAATAGAGACCCAACAACCACAGTTTAGGGGAAATAGATACCCTACAACCATCGGTTAGGGGAGATAGAGACCCAACAACCACAGGTTAGGGGAAATAGAGACCCTACAACCACAGGCTAGGGGAGATAGAGACCCAACAACCACAGGTTAGGGGTGATAGAAACCCTACAACCACAGGTTAGGGGAGATAAAGACCCTACAACCACAGGTAAGGGGAGATAGAGACCCTACAACCACAGGTTAGGGGAGATAGATACCCTACAACTACCGGTTAGGGGAGATAGTGACCCAACAACCACAGTTCAGGGGAAATAGAGACCCAACAACCACAGTTTAGGGGAAATAGATACCCTACAACCATCGGTTAGGGGAGATAGAGACCCAACAACCACAGGTTAGGGGTGATAGAAACCCTACAACCACAGGTTAGGGGAGATAGAGACCCTACAACCACAGGCTAGGGGAGATAGAAACCCAACAACCACAGGTTAGGGGTGATAGAAACCCTACAACCACAGGTTAGGGGAGATAGAGACCCTACAACCACAGGTTAGGGGACATAGAGACCCTACAACCACAGGTAAGGGGAGATAGATACCCTACCACCACAGGTTAGGGGAGAAAGAGACCCTACAACCACAGGTAAGGGGAAATAGAGACCCTACAACCATAGGTTAGGGGGGATAGAGACCCTACAACCACAGAGGTAAGGGGAGATAGAGACCCAACAACCACAGGTTAGGGGAGATAGAGACCCTACAACCACAGGTAAGGGGAAATAGAGACCCTACAACCATAGGCTAGGGGGGATAGAGACCCTACAACCACAGAGGTAAGGGGAGATAGAGACCCAACAACCACAGGTTAGGGGAAATAGAGACTCTACAACCACAGGTAAGGGGAAATAGATACCCTACCACCACAGGTTAGGGGAGAAAAAGACCCTACAACCACAGGTTAGGGGAAATAGAGACCCTACAACCACAGGCTAGGGGAGATAGAGACCCAACAACCACAGTTTAGGGGAAATAGAGACCCTACAACCACTGGTAAAGGGAGATAGAGACCCTACAACCACAGGTTAGGGAAGATAGAGACCCTACAACCACAGGTAAGGGGAGATAGATACCCTACAACTACCGGTTAGGGGAGATAGTGACCCAACAACCACAGTTCAGGGGAAATAGAGACCCAACAACCATAGGTTAGGGGGGATAGAGACCCTACAACCACAGAGGTAAGGGGAGATAGAGACCTTACAACCACAGGTTAGGGGACATAGAGACCCTACAACCACAGGTAAGGGGAGATAGAGACCCTCCAACCACTGGTAAAGGGTGATAGAGACCCTACAACCACAGGTTAGGGGAGATAGAGACCCTACAACCACAGGTTAGGGGAGATAGAGACCCTACAACCACAGGTAAGGGGAGATAGAGACCCTCCAACCACAGGTAAGAGGAGATAGAGACCCTACAACCACAGGTTAGGGGAGATAGATACCCTTCAACCACAGTTTAGGGGAAATAGATACCCTACAACCACCGGTTAGGGGAGATAGAGATCCAACAACCACAGGTTAGGGGAAATAGAGACCCTACAACCACAGGCTAGGGGAGATAGAGACCCAACAACCACAGTTTAGGGGAAATAGAGACCCTACAATCACAGGTAAGGGGAGATAGAGACCCTCCAACCACAGATTAGGGGAGATAGAGACCCTACAACCACAGGTTAGGGGAGATAGAGACCCTCCAATCACAGGTATGGGGAGATAGAGACCCTACAACCAAAGGTAAGGGGAAATAGAGACCCTACAACCACAGGTAAGGGGAGATAGAGACCCAACAACCACAGTTTAGGGGAAATAGAGACTCTACAACCACATGTTAGGGGAAATAGATGTGTTACCTAGGAGTGCAAATTAAGGAGAATCTAAACTTTCTTAGGCTGAATGTAAAAATGAAACCTCTAGAATGCTATTTAAGCCTGAAACTACTGTCTTGTTCCTTACCCTACAACCACAGTTAAGAGGAGATAGAGACCCTGCAATCACAGGTATGGGGAGATAGAGACGCTACAACCACAGGTTAGGGGAGATAGAGACCCTACAACCACAGGTAAGGGGAGATAGAGACTCTACAACCACAGGTTAGGGGAAATAGATGTGTTACCTAGGAGTGTAAATTAAGGAGCATCTAAACTTTCTTAAGCTGAATGTAAAAATGAAACCTCTAGTATGCTATTTAAGCCTGAAACTACTGTCTTGTTCCTTACAAATCACAGCAGTAGGTAAAATATCCTGTCCTGCTAACATACTGATGTCCTCCTCAGATTTCGTGTATTATACTGATACACAGGAAGGTTACTATGTTGAATGTCTTATATAGGATTGTAAAATCTGTAGTTTCCAAATTATATCACTTTGCTGTTGCTTGATCATTTCAGTTGAGCTTGTGAATGGACCAAATCCTTCTGAGGGTCGTGTAGAGGTCATACGGTCAGGGTCAAGGGGGACAATCTGTGATGATCTCTGGGGTCCTGAAGATGCAAGAGTTGTCTGCAGGATGTTAGGATATGTGTAAGTCACATAGTCTTGGTAGTATAATAAAAATGACCTCAAGTTTAAAGATCCGTTGAAGACCTCCAAGGCAAGCTTGTGGAATAACTCCTATGTTCCTGGAATGGTGTCACTTGACAAATACAAGATTGTCACAGTCAGTAAAACGAAATTCTGATAGACTTTCGATTGTGATGTCATAATAGAAAAGGTCACATGTATTCCACATGAGTCTACTGTATGGAACATGTGTTTCTAACAAACCTAGCAGTGGGAGAAATGTACTTATTGTCGTTATTAAGCAGTTACTGAATGTTTTTATCCTCCTGTAGAGATGGGCGAGCCAAGGGTCAAGCTGCTTATGGCCCTGGCAGTGACCAGATCTTACTGGATGATGTGGACTGTACAGGGGAGGAGACTAGTCTGTTGGAGTGTACCCATAGCGTGTGGGGCACACACAACTGTGACCACTCGGAGGATGCAGGTGCTGTATGCCTTACAGAACCCTTCATGGAAGCAACATCCAGCGGTAAGGCTACCAAAGGATTGAATGTCTGTTCGGCTGATTAACCCTTTCACCCCTATGTAACTTTAGTAGACTATACCATGCATTGATATGGATGAGTCCATTATGGTCTACAGTGGTGAAAGGGTTAAGAATGTGAGCCTTGTACAGCAAAGTATATTAATTGTAAACGTATGTAAATTTTACTTAAGGATGTACACCTCTGAAAAGTCAAAAAAAAAGTTAATGGCATAGTAGAAAATGTAAAAAAAAAATATATGTCGCTGTGTTCGTTTTTGTGCTATGATCGGGCAAAGATACCAATTTAACACACGTGATTTTAGGTGATTTTTTGGGTTTTGACCATTTGCCTAACAAATTCATACAATTTCTTCCAAGTGTGTTATCAGATATGTATAAATGTTTGTAGAATTGATGAAAATATTATTTTCTTTTAAATTATGGGAGTAAAATTTCTTAATCTTATTCTTTTAACTCAGAAAGTCGATTTTAGTTACCCCTACCCCTATTTTTTAATGAAAAAATACTCATTTTTTGCAGATTAAACGTTTGATATAAAAAGTTCTGCTATTAAACTTTTTTTTTAATATTTAACGAATTAAAAGAAAATGTATTTCTCTTTCTAAAACATCCACAAAAATTGGTGTCAGTGTGCTTCTTTTTTTGTCCCATTATCATTTGTGTTATTTTTACCTTTTTCGGGGTCAAAAATCAAAAGGACTTCAGTCACACTACTAAATACGTATAAAAAAATATCAATAATGTATAATTTTCCAGTTTGTTTCATATTATTTTTATCATATTAAGCATTATAAAGTTGTACAGCAAAATTGAACCTGCTACAATTAAAAATGGTGACACAATGACAATTTAAGTGATCAATCTAGCGTCAAAAAAGGTGAATTTTTTGCCTGTTTTGAAGCACAAGAAGTTACACATAAATACACTTTTTCAAAATGGCTGCCGAATTGGTAATTTTTTTAAATTCTTGACAAACATCTAGTTTTTGGAAATATTTTTCAGATGCGTGTTTGCTTATTAACTTGATCATAATTTGTTTAATATTACAAAATCCTGTTACACCAGATCAAAACGAGACTTGAACGTGATTGAAACCTCAGAGGAGTACATCCTTAATGTTCAACTGCCTTCATCAGTCAATACAAGCAGCCAAATAAACATAAGTTTTATTGACATTGATTCTCTTGTACACTTGGACTGTTATTTCATATGCACTACAATAGTTCAGAAATATTGCTTTACAACATTTTTATTGTACACATGTTTACCTCTTAATGAGAATGGGAAGGAAACACAATACAGTGTATTATAATATATCTGAACTTTCCCTTATTGACTTAACTTTCTTTCTTTACATCTATTATTTAAACAAAAAAAAACTTATTCAAATTGCGTATTTTAGTAATTTTGTTAGTTTAGAGTGTAATAGGTGTATTTTATTCTATCTATCATCAGATATTCAGCTTGACCTTCTGGGTGGGGCCATTCCAAATGAAGGAGTTGTCCGATTGGTCAGTAACAGTGTTGAGGGTGGCCTGTGTAACCATGAGTCGCGCTACAATGACGAGCAGGCTACACTTGTGTGTAAAACTTTAGGCTTCAGGTAGGTTATACACATCCATCACTGTCACAGTACGCATGTGTGTGAAAAATCTGCATTTTGCACTGTGTCTGGAAACTGTAAAAGGTATCAAAATCTATCTCTTTAATTTTTAATCCCCTGTACCAGGAGAGATTTTATTCCAATAGAAAATATCTTTTCTGTATGTTTGCTTGAAAATGTTATATTGTACACACGGGAAAAATATTCAGGAAATAATGTTCCAAAAATCTCTTTTTTATACTAGATCATTTAACATATTTGATATGTCTTGCTAGGACCGGAGTGTTGATGGACAATACCCTGACGTCCAGCCTGACAAAAGCCTGGCCCTACACAGTATCTTGTCCCCCGACCAGCACTGTACTTGCCAATTGCACCCTGGAGGAGAACCTAGATGCTGATAACTGTCCACCCTCCAGCTTTCTGGCTGTGTCATGTAATTCTGTCATTGACCCGTCCGAAGGTAAGATGGCTACCATAACCCGTCCGAAGGTAAGATGGCTTCCATGACCCATCTAAAGGTAAGATGGCAACCATGACCCGTCCGAAGGTAAGATGGCTACCATGACCCGTCCGAAGGTACGATGGCTACCTTGACCCATCCGAAGGTAAGATAGCTACCATGACCAGTCCGAAGGTAAGATGGTTACCATGACCCATCCGAAGGTAAGATGGCTACAATGACCCATCCAAAGGTAAGATGGCTACCATGACCCATCCGAAGGTAAGATGGCTACCTTGACCTGTCCGAAGGTAAGATGGCTACCATGACCCATCCAAAGTTGCTTGATTTAGCTTTGTTTTTTCAAAGATTTTATAGACTTTTTTATGATAATAAGTCAGATAAAAAAGAACGATGATATCTAAAACAACTTGTTTTTAGAGATTCTGTATCAGGGCTCCAAACTGTTAAAACAAGTTGCTAAAATAAGTTCAAAGTTGGGCTCTTCCCTGCAATTAAAAGTACTGACAACCATATGACCATCTGAGAAAGTCTGGTTGTAATTTAAATATGGTGCCAATACACTTCCAAGTATCCTTGGAAAGAAATAATTGTCACAGACATTTATTAGACTGGAACCTAAAAATGTTGTTGTATGTCTAACAATCAGGGTTTAGTGATATCTGATCATAAGCCAGTTATTGACAACTGTTTCCATCTCACCTGTATGAAACAGAAAATGAGCCTTCATTATGGAATGTTTTAAATTTCAGGCATTTTGCTCATTGACACAAAATAAATGTACATGTATAAGATACCATTTTTAACTAATTCCAAGTATTTGACCGTTTTTCATATGGAAGCTTATCATACTGGGATTGAAACAAGAAATGTTTTTATTAATTAACACAGCACATCACACCGAGGTTGTATGTGTTGATGACACTGTGACACTACGGTGTGCTGGTGGACTGGAGGTAGTGGATGCCACCTACGGACGAAGAGATCGACAGACCTGTTCCAGTGAGGCCATGCGAAGTACCAGCTGTAGAGTGGCTGGGGTACGGGACATCATCATGTCCGCCTGCAATGGCCAACGTCAGTGTGTCATTCAGGATATACGGGGGTTGTTCTCAAATTTATCAGACCCCTGTGAAGGCACAGAGAAGTACTTGACAGTCCAGTACAACTGTGGTAAGTTTGTCCATTTATACCTGTATGTCAGCATTAATCTTACTCTAGCATTAATGGTATTTAGGTTACTAAAGTACATGATCATTTACGTGAATATATTCAGTCATGGGTTTTACACAAATAAATTTTCATGTAACTTGTCTTCCTGACATTAGTTTCTATGAACAATATATCTATAACAATCGTATTTCTGAATTAAACTAGAAAAAAATATTTCTCACCATTTAAAAAAAAAAATGAATTCCTTAATAGTATATTTCAACTAGAAGTGGACGAGTTAACGTCTTTACAATTGATTACTGAAGTTAAATTCCGTAACATCATTGTCTGGAAATGTACAAATGTTTTACAATTAATGTCTGCTATTTAAAAATCAATATTGGCAGTCATACTTGATTTTTGGAACTCCGAAATTTTACTTAATCTTTATATTTTATTTTTTTCTCTTACCTCTATCTGTTTACTCTAACTGCTATTTAAAAAAAAGGGTTTATGTCTCAACACTATTTGTGACATAGAATTGATTTGTTTTATTCATAACTGCTGTTTGTTTGTCCGTACTCCTTCCTCAACATAACTCAGGTAAACTGTATTTGTAATATGAATTTGATTTGCTGACAGCTGTGGATGTCCAGTTGGTGGATGGAAACATTCCAAGTGAAGGTCGTGTTGAGATTATATTTAATGGACAACGAGGGACAGTCTGTGATGACCAATGGCAGGAGGAGGATGCCAATGTCGTCTGCAGAATGCTGGGTTATGACGGGTAAACACAGTTTAGTTAAGGTATACTTTGTGACTGAAGACAGGTGTTGTCTGATGAACACTGAGTTATGACGAGTAAACACAGTTTAGTTAAGGTATACTTTGTGACTGAAGACAGGTGTTGTCTGATGAACACTGGGTTATGACGAGTAAACACAGTTAAGTTAAGGTATACTTTGTGACTGAAGACAGGTGAGGTCTGACGAATACTGGGTTATGACACAGGTAAATACAGTCTAGTACAGGTATACCTTGTGACTGGAGACAGGTGTTGTCTGTAGAATACTGGGTTATGCGAGGTAAACACAGTCTAGTACAGGTATACCTTGTGACTGGAGACAGGTGCTGTCTGTAGAATACAGGGTTATGACAGGTAATCACAGTCCAGTACAGGTATACCTTGCGACTGGAGACAGGTGCTGTCTGTAGAATACTGGGATATGCGAGGTAAACACAGTCTAGTACAGGTATACCTCGTGACTGGAGACAGGTGCTGTCTGTAGAATACAGGGTTATGACAGGTAATCACAGTCCAGTACAGGTATACCTTGTGACTGGAGACAGGTGCTGTCTGTAAAATACTGGGTTATGACAGGTTAACACAGTCTAGTACAGGTATACCTTGTGACTGGAGACAGGTGTTGTCTGTAGAATACTGGGTTATGACAGACAAACAAAGTCTAGTACAGGTATACCTTGTGACTGGAGACAGGTGTTGTCTGTAGAATGATGGATTTTGACAGGTAAACACAGTCTAGTACAGGTATACCTCGTGACTGGAGACAGGGGTTGTCCGTAGAATGAAGGATTTTGACAGGTAAACATAGTATAGTACAGGTATACCTCGTGACTCGAGACATGTGTTGTCTGTAGAATGATGGATTTTGACAGGTAAACACAGTCTAGTACAGGTATACCTTGTGACTGGAGACAGGTGCTGTCTGTAGAATACTGGGATATGACAGGTAAACACAGTCCAGTACAGGTATACCTTGTGACTGGAGACAGGTGTTGTCCGTAGAATGAAGGATTTTGACAGGTAAACATAGTCTAGTACAGGTATACCTCGTGACTCGAGACATGTGTTGTCTGTAGAATGCTGGGTTATGACAGGTAAACATAGTCTAGGACAGGTATACCTCGCGACTGGAGACAGGTGTTGTCTGTAGAATGATGGATTTTGACAGGTAAACACAGTCTAGTACAGGTATACCTCACGACTGGAGACAAGTGTTGTCCGTAGAATGAAGGATTTTGACAGGTAAACATAGTCTTGTACAGGTATACCTCGTGACTGGAGACATGTGTTGTCTGTAGAATGCTGGGTTATGACAGGTAAACATAGTCTAGTACAGGTATACCTCGTGACTGGAGACAGGTGTTGTCTGTAGAATACTGGGTTGAGACAGGTAAACACAGTCTAGTACAGGTATTCTTGTGACTGGAGACAGGTGTTGTCTGTAGAATGATGGATTTTGACAGGTAAACATAGTCTAGTACAGGTATACCTTGTGACTGGAGACAGGTTTTGTCTGTAGAATACTGGGTTATGACAGGTAAACACAGTCTAGTACAGGTATACCTTGTGACTGGAGATAGGTTTTTCTGTAGAATGCTGGGTCAAGACAGGTGAGTAATCTTTACTTTTTGTAGAGCGTGTTGTACAATAAGATCTGGTTTGCTTTGACAGAGGTGGCATAGCTGTAGGAGAGGCGTACTTCGGGAGGGGTTCTACGGATATCCCTATCCTCATGGATGAAGTGCAGTGTGTTGGCACAGAGACTAATATCTGGAGCTGTCCACGTGCTAATGGTAACGACTGTGGTCACCATGAAGATGCAGGTGTACGTTGTATCATACCAACCGAACCAATCCCAGGAGGAGGTGGAGGAGATGACGATGGTGGAGATACAGATGATGGTTACATCTTCCCAGGTTAGAATATACATATATTTACTGGAGACAAATATAGATACAGAAAATTTTACAAAAACAAAACATATCTGCTTTGCTCAAATAACAGTAAAATATATTACAGCTATATTATTCATTCATCAAACCACTGTAATCATACATTTACTTTGATTGCAAAAGAGGAGCATGATGCTATTTTTGGTTATTCTTCATCATAGGTGAGGTAAAATAATATAATTTTGACCTTTCTTTTCCCTTACACAAGCAAATTCTCCCATATTCTGTATGTATCATATTGATCAATGAGTCTTCCATATTTTAAGTGATATCATGGAATTTTCTCATTTCTTCCAACATTTTACACCTCATTCAACCTCATGTTGTTTTCATTGTAAATACTTAGTTGTTATCCCATATTGAATATTTTAGCTAGTACTTTTTATTTTATTTTCAGGTTGTGGAAAGCGACCGTTAGAAGCCATCATAAATGCTCGCAAGAAAAGACAAACAGGTGAAGGTAACACAGAGAGAGTTTTAGGGGAGCCTCCACGTGTTGAGAAGATAATGGGTGGAAATACAGCGGACTACGGCATGTTTCCATGGCAGGTGGGAGTGAGGCATATCGACTTCATAGACAGCTGGGACAACAGAAAGTATCATAGACATTGGTGCGGAGCAACCATTGTCAGTGAGTACTGGATCGTCAGTGCTGCACACTGCTTTGATGGGTAAGTTGCTGGTCGTCAGAGCTGCACACTGCTTTGATGGGTAAGTTGCTGGTCGTCAGAGCTGCACACTGCTTTGATGGGTAAGTTGCTGGTCGTCAGAGCTGCACACTGCTTTGATGGGTAAGTTGCTGGTCGTCAGAGCTGCACATTGCTTTGATGGGTAAGTTGCTGGTCGTCAGAGCTGCACATTGCTTTGATGGGTAAGTTGCTGGTCGTCAGAGCTGCACATTGCTTTGATGGGTAAGTTGCTGGTCGTCAGAGCTGCACATTGCTTTGATGGGTAAGTTGCTGGTCGTCAGAGCTGCACATTGCTTTGATGGGTAAGTTGCTGGTCGTCAGAGCTGCACATTGCTTTGATGGGTAAGTTGCTGGTCGTCAGAGCTGCACACTGCTTTGATGGGTAAGCTGCTGGTCGTCAGAGCTGCACACTGCTTTGATGGGTAAGTTGCTGGTCGTCAGAGCTACACATTGCTTTGATGGGTAAGTTGCTGGTCGTCAGAGCTGCACATTGCTTTGATGGGTAAGTTGCTGGTCGTCAGAGCTGCAATCTGTTTTGATGGGTAAGTTGCTGGTCGTCAGAGCTACACATTGCTTTGATGGGTAAGTTGCTGGTCGTCAGAGCTGCACATTGCTTTGATGGGTAAGTTGCTGGTCGTCAGAGCTGCACACTGCTTTGATGGGTAAGTTGCTGGTCGTCAGAGCTGTACACTGCTTTGATGGGGAAGTTGCTGGTCGTCAGAGCTGCACACTGCTTCAATTGGGAAGTGTTGGTTTGTCATTGCTAGTATATGATTAACATTTTATCCATTGCTATTGTAAGAGAAGATTTACAAGACTAACATTGTTTAGTCTGTTTTTCCTTTATGTAGAAGATGTATTTCAACAAAGCACCTTACCTATCATGTGATCCTGTGCATGTGCTACTGCTATTAATTATATAGTTTCGAACCCTGTCTATAGAGTTATGGCTCTCAGTGATTTTAGCCCATTTGGTTCAAAATCTTGTCAATTTGCTTGTGAATGGCATGCACATCCACACTCCTATTTAATTAGTGTCATTTTATATTTCACACAGTCTTACCAGTAATTGAAATCGATCAACTACTACATTAATACACTCTGTATGCCATCGTAAAAATATTAAATTGAAAACTGCATTGATGCCATAAGCTATTTAATGGACTGAAATGCATATTCTCAATATTTATGCAGTTATGAAACTCTCTTGCTTACAAAATATTCCACTATCTGTGAGAACATATCTTGAAGAATTTGTTAACAACCAAATGGCTTTCATACAAATATAAAGTAAAGAGTATGGGTTTTAATCTTTATATTTACTTTCAAAACAAAGAGAAGATTATTTTATTAAGTCATGTGGTTTCTTTTGGTTTATTAAGCACTTAAGCAAACTACTTTATGAAATGCTTGAACAGTTATTGGGAATATGCTGATTTTGTTTCATTTCAAAATATTTGTTAAATCAATCAGATTTAAGAGAATTGGGCAACAGGCGAGCCTATACAAGCCTTCTCCATGGTGATGTTGTCCATGGTTACCATTTCTGTCAGGTTTAATGTCAATTACAAACTTTTCAGGTTTAATGTCAATTACAAACTTTTCAGGAATTTTCATAAAAAAATTGAATGGTGGTTTAATTTTATGCTGATTTAAAGATTTCAAATGTCCAAGAGCTTCCTAGGAGTATTGGGCTGAATTATGTGTACTACATACTGTGGCCATATATACAGCTTCAAACTCTGATCTTGTTTTTTCCAGTAAAACCAAGTCCAAATTCATTATGAGGGTAGGTGATCTCAACAACAAGTTTCTCGATGACCATGAGGAAGAATTTGAATTGGAAACTTTGCTCATGCATGAATCTTACGATGGTGAGTTCTGAAAAAAAAAAAACAGTTTGTAAATGCTAAACCTTTTGATGATTTACAATGACCACCAACAAGTCTGCAAAATGGGCATGACTTGCTGAAAATGATTCCAAAAACTAGTAGTTATCTGCGTGTTTCAATTTTATGTTGTTTATGTGTAATACTGGGGCATAATATTATAGATTTTGAAGCCATTGGTATAGAAAGTCAGTACTGAAGTTCTATTCTCATTTCAGATGTAACATACAACAATGACATTGCTCTTCTGAAGATAAAGCAGAAAAATGGCCATGGAATTGTGTTTAATGATTACATACAGCCTGCGTGTCTTCCTACAAGTAATACAGCGTATACAACTGGCAAGAGCTGTCACATCTCAGGCTGGGGCAAAACTGAGTTAGGTAAGGTTAACATTCTATAGAACAGCATATAAGGTGTCTCATCTTAGACTGTGACAAAACTGAGTTAGGAAAGGTTAACATTCTATAGAACAGCATACTAGGTGTCTCATCTTAGACTGCGGCAAAACTGAATAGGGAAACGTTAACATTCTATAGAATATACAGCATACAATGTGTCTCATCATAGACTGTGACAAAACTGAGTTAGGAAAGGTTAACATTCTATAGAACAGCATACAAGGTGTCTCATCTTAGACTGTGACAAAACTGAGTTAGGAAAGGTTAACTTTCTATAGAACAGCATACAAAGTGTCTCATCTTAGACTGTGACAAAACTGAATAAGGAAACGTTAACATTCTATAGAACAGCATACAAGGTGTCTCATCATAGACTGCGGCAAAACTGAGGTAGGAAAGGTCAACATTCTATAGAACAGCATACAAGGTGTCTCATCTTAGACTGCGGCAAAACTGAGTTAGGAAAGGTTAACATTCTATAGAACAGCATACAAGGTGTCTCATCTTAGACTGCGACAAAACTGAGTTAGGAAAGGTCAATATTCTGTAGAACAGCATACAATGTGTCTCATCATAGACTGTGACAAAACTGAGTTAGGAAAGGTTAACATTCTATAGAACAGCATACAAGGTGTCTCATCATAGACTGTGGCAAAACTGAGTTAGGAAAGGTTAACATTTTATAGAACAGCATACAAGGTGTCTCATCTTAGACTGCGACAAAACTGAATAGGGAAACGTTAATATTCTATAGAACAGCATACAAGGTGTCTCATCTTAGACTGCGGCAGAACTGAATAGGGAAACGTTAACATTCTATAGAATATACAGCATACAAGGTGTCTCTTCGTTGACTGCGGCAAAACTGAGTTAGGAAAGGTTAATATTCTATAGAACAGCATACAAGATGTCTCATCTGAGAATGAGGCAAAACAGAGTAAGGTAAGGTCAACATGGTAAAGAATATACAACAGAGAACGGGTCATCTCTGACTGAGACAAAATTTAGTATGACAAGGTCATTACTCTATAGATGATACAACTTTCAAGATATCCCATCTAATGCTGGGGCAAAACTGAGTTAGGTAGAGGTCATTACTTTATGTTGTATACAAAGACAAGATATCTCACCTCAGGCTTGGACAAAACTGTGTCATGTTAGGTTGTCAATCTAGAGAGGATACAACAGGCAATTGCCACATCATAAGCAGGATTTGGTTTGGTTTAGTTTTGTTTAACGTCAATTAAGGACGGCCTCCCCTGTGTGCAAAATGCATGCGCGTAGTGTATGGGTGTGTGTTTTGGGAGGCTGCGATATGTTTGTCTCCTTGTGATAGCGCGGAACTGATGCCGACTTTATAGCGCTACCTCACTGAAACATATTGCCAAAGACACCCAGCAGGACACTGTGTTAGGTAAAGTGGTCAATCTATAGAGTATACAACAGACAAAGAATCACATCTCTGGCTAGTGAAAAACTGTGTTAGGCAAATAAGTCACTCTATACAGTATACAACAGACAAGTTTCACATCTCAGACTGAGATTAAACCGTGTTAGGTAAGGTCGTCACTCAAAACAGTATACTACAGACAAAGGCTCCCATCTCTTGCTGGGGCAAAACTGAGTTAGGCAAGGTTGTCACTCTATAGTGTACAACATTCTTGAAGGTCTCTCACCACACTGGGGCTAAACTGTGCTAGACAAAGTCGTCAAACTATACAGTATACAACAGACAAGTTTCACATCTCAGACTGGGATTAAACCCTGTTAGGTAAGTTCGTCACTCAAAACAGAATATTACAGACAAAGGCTCCCATCTCTTGCTGGGGCAAAACTGAGTTAGGCAGGGTTGTCACTTCATACAGGACACCATGAGTTTTGGAAAATGTGTTGCATCTAATACTTGTGCAAAACTGAGTAAAGTACAGTTGTAAGTTGATACAGTATACAAGAGCCAAGGTGTCACATCTCAGGCTGGAGCAAAACTGAGTAAAGTAAGGCCATTAGTCTTTAGAGTTTGCAACAGAAAAGGTGTCTCATCTACAGTACACGACAGATGAGAACTGATATAAGTCAGGTCTTACTCCATAAAGAACACAACAGGCAACATGTTTTTCATCTCTGTCAGGGACAAAACTAAACTAGGTAGGGTCATATTTCTATACCTTACACACAAGACGGCTGTCTTCTCTCATACTTGGGCAAAACTTTGCTAGGTAAGGTCTAACCCTATACAGTAGACAAAAGACAAGATGTTCTATTTCAGACTGGTATAGGGCATTATGGAATACTCCAACTTGTGTTGTCCTAAAGTCTAACATCTTCTCCATGTTGGATTGTTCTGTAATGGTTTGGTTTGCGAGTCAATGATATTAATCTCTCACACTTTAGGTTCACCTCACATGCTGAAACAGGCTGTGGTTCCTCTGATCAGTCATTCTCAGTGCCAGGGTCTGTATAGTAAATCCCAGATCACCGATGTTATGTTGTGTGCTGGCCTGGTTGCTGGAGGCATTGACACCTGCCAGGGAGACAGTGGAGGACCACTCGTGTGTGAGGAAACCAAAGGTAAAATATGTTAAAAAAAGTGAAAAACTTAGGGGCCTTGACTTGTGCGCAGTGTCCTCATTTACCATCAAATCTAAAATATTTCTTCCCCAAAAGTCTTTGTTATACCAGTAAACTATCAAATGAAAGTGATTTTGTCTGCTGTAAAATTTCTACTTTCATCTATTGATAATTTACAAAGAAGTTATTATTTATTCTTAAAACATGACAATTGATAAGACCACACGTATATCAATATATTAATAACATCTGTATGTCATATTACATGTTTGTTTGCTTCAATAAGCACCTGTATATGTGCAATTGCCTTGACAGGAGTCTACACGCTGTATGGAGCCACATCGTGGGGAGCGGGATGTGGACAGGCCAATGCCCCTGGTGTATACTCTCATGTCAGAAACTTTTTACCATGGATACGGGATAAACTCAAAACACACAGCTAACATCTTAACACCGTCTGTCCATTGGAGAATGCTTATCTCATAAAGTTGGGGATTGTTTGAAATTGTTGTTTAACTGCATATGTTCATACGTTGCATGGATCAAAGTGTCGCTATATTGTTCATCAAGATATTGTATGTTGATGGTACATATCTCAAATAATGATTTAAATGACAGTTCTATATCTGGGGATGGGAGTGAGACGTCAAAACAGAGTAACGTAATTACAGGGACAACAGTGCCGATGAAATGTTAACGAATTAAAAATTGCATATATATGACATACACTTTATTTGAACCAATTTAATGTTGAATCTGCCTGGGGGTCCATATCCTTGTGAATTGATCTAACAAACAGGAAACAATGCTGTAATACAGGTTATAACAGAAGATGTTTTGAAATAATGTGGACACGTAAGGACCATAATCATATATTTCTAAAGATTATTTTTCCACAACAGGCTCGAAAATGATCATTATTCTAGGGAACAGTGCACATAAAGCTTTTCTGTCGACAGAACTCTCTCAATTGTTACAAAGGTGGGGTTCTTGCCATGTTAAAATTCCCATAGACCCTGTCTTCGCACAGATTTTCATGAAACTTTAAAAGTACTTTAGTCATACCATGGCTGAACAGAAACGATAAGTTTTATTCAAAATCATGCAAAAAGATAAGGCACACAGGGCCTGACATGCATTTTGTCAAATGAATGCATGTTACTTCCTTTCTTGTACAGTGTAAAATGTGATATATCCTGTGACTGAGGGAATGTGAATGTATAATTGATATAATTTTCCCACATTGGAGATATTGACACAGGTAACACTTTTAAATTTCAGACTGAGTCTCTGTTTAGGGCTAGATATATAAGAATAAGGGTTTAGATTTTGTGCCAAATCCTCTATCTGGGGAATCACCTTTTTTTCTCCCATGGAAAAATAGGGATTGTTTTTGTTGAAAAGAATGCTATGATATGACGTCATTTGATTATAAAAAATATTCTTTTCATTGTGATGCCTCAATACTTGCCCCTTCCAGTAATAGACGTGTTTGTCTTCCCTTCAGTCTTTTGTGAAGGAGAGAAAATTCCCTTACAAGGAAAACCACAGATAAGTTTGTCATGTGGAATCAATCTTTATCCCGTTCTGGGAAAAGCGAAGATTGTGCGGTCACAGTTTAGATGATGTAATGATGCCAAACTTGATAATCTGATGACATCACATTATAGAATCTCAAATCTGTGCAATAAAATGTTAATAAATTTCAAGTTTAATTTGTGTATGCTGTGTTATTTTCTTCACTTTATTTCTGATTTATGTTTGCTGTAATGGAACAGTGTTAAGAAACACTAACAGAAGACAAACAATTAAATTCAATCGGGAACCGTCGGCACTGTCTGTAACACACTGTCAAATAGAGACCTCTTACACACAGTGTAAAATGAGGACCTCTCTCACCCACACTGGCAATCAAATGAGGACCTCTCTCACCAACACTGGCAATCAAATGAGGACGTCTCTCACACACACAGACTGTCAAATGAGGACCTCTCACACACAATGTCAAATGAGGATCTCTCACACACACTGTCAAATGAGGACGTCTCTCACACAGTCATATGAGGACCTCTCTCACAAAAACTTTCAGATGAGGACCTTTCATACACACTGTCATATGAGGACTCTCACATACATGGTCAAATGAGGACCTCTCACACACAATGTCAAATGAGGATCTCTCACACACAAATATCTCAAACCGAAATATGGCGACGGGATGAAGGTATTGTTTACAGGCACCGACAATCTTGGTTACCACGTGTTCTGTGACGACATTTATGTCGATATGTTGCAACAAAAAGATACCTGGAGTTTTTAAAGACGAAACTGAAGGCAAACCTAATACAGAGTTTGTTGGACTCAGCGCTAAAATGTATAGTTTTCAATATATAGTTCTAGAAACCTTCACTATGGATAATATGAGGGTCATCACAAATACGTTAGGAGAAAAGTAGGTAACAAAAGGCATTGCCAAAGCTACAACGTACAAAGAATGTCTCTTTGAGAAACAGAAAAAATGTGCGAAGTGTGCTCCATTAGGAGCGATGGGCACCAGTTATACGTGTACAACATAAACAATCGGGACTATATGCTTTTGATGATGAGCGTTGGATCCGTTCAAGTCTCTGCGATAGCATTTGGTCATTATAAAACAAAGACGATGTTATAAAGTGTGTACCAGTTTAATAGTAGATATAGTTTTATATACTGTTTGCAGAACTTATTTAATCTTTGTTTGCAAAATCAAAATAACGTTTGTTGAAACCATTTAAAAGGATGTCAAATTTAACGAGAACCAACAAAATTACTAGAAAAAAAAAATGGGAAAGAAGTTGTTGAGAGGAATACACATGTAAGTTTCTGCAAAAATGAGACGTTGTTGATACATGTATATATATAATACACAATAAAATAAAAGATGACTTGTTTTAATGGATATGTATTTTATATATACATAATGCCTCATATCGGTTTAATTTTGCTATAATACCGCTGAAGTCGTTTTAAATTGGAAATTATTAACGAAACCAGTTTATAAGTATTTTTATTAAAGAAAATTTAAATATTAAAACAATTTCATGCATTTTCTGTAGTTTTATCATGATATATCATAAACACAATGCTCCTTTAGTAAAACACAAAGTCTTAATGGATATGTATTTTATGTATACATAATGCCTCATATTGGTTTAATTTTGCTATAATAACGCTGAAGTGGTTTTTAATTGGAAATTATTAACGAAACCAGTATATAAGTCATAAGTTGCTGCCGCTACTGTGGCAATTGCTGTTGCTGCTGCTACTGTGGCAATTGCTGTTGCTGCTGCTACTGTGGCAATTGCTGTTTTGCTGCTGCTACTGTTGCAATTGCTGTTGCTGCTGCTACTGTGGCAATTGCTGTTGCTACTGCTACTGTGGCAATTGCTGTTTTGCTGCTGCTACTGTGGCAATTGCTGTTGCTGCTGCTACTGTGTCAATTGCTGTTGCTGCTGCTACTGTGGCAATTTCTTTTGCTGCTGCTTCTGTGGCAATTGCTGTTGCTGCTGCTACTGTGTCAATTGCTGTTGCTGCTGCTACTGGGGCAATTGCTGTTGTTGCTGCTACTGTGGCAATTGCTGTTGCTGCTGCTCCTGTGGCAATTGCTGTTTTGCTGCTGCTACTGTGGCAATTGCTGTTGCTCCTGCTACTGTGGCAATTGCTGTTTTGCTGCTGCTACTGGGGCAATTGCTGTTGCTGCTGCTACTGTGGCAATTTCTTTTGCTGCTGCTTCTGTGGCAATTGCTGTTGCTGCTGCTACTGTGTCAATTGCTGTTGCTGCTGCTACTGGGGCAATTGCTGTTGCTGCTGCTACTGTGGCAATTGTTGTTGCTGCTGCTACTGTGGCAATTGCTGTTACTGCTACTACTGTGTCAATTGCTGTTGCTGCTGCTACTGTGGCAATTGCTGTTGCTGCTGCTACTGTGGCAATTGCTGTTGCTGCTGCTACTGTGGCAATTGCTGTTGCTGCTGCTACTGTGGCAATTGCTGTTGCTGCTGCTACTGTGGCAATTGCTGTTGTTGCTGCTACTGTGGCAATTGCTGTTGTTGCTGCTACTGTGGCAATTGTTGTTGCTGCTGCTACTGTGGCAATTGCTGTTACTGCTACTACTGTGTCAATTGCTGTTGCTGCTGCTACTGTGGCAATTGCTGTTGCTGCTGCTACTGTGGCAATTGCTGTTGCTGCTGCTACTGTGGCAATTGCTGTTGCTGCTGCTACTGTGGCAATTGCTGTTGCTGCTGCTACTGTGGCAATTGCTGTTGCTGCTGCTACTGTGGCAATTGCTGTTGCTGCTGCTACTGTGGCAATTGCTGTTGCTGCTGCTACTGTGGCAATTGCTGTTGCTGCTACTACTGTGGCAATTGCTGTTTTGCTGCTGCTGCTGCTACTATGGCAATTGCTGTTGCTGCTGCTACTGTGACAATTGCTGTTGCTGCTGCTACTGTGGTAATTGATGTTTTGCTGCTGCTACTGTGGCAATTGCTGTTGCTACTGTGGCAATTGCTGTTGCTGCTGCTGCTGCTACTGTGGCAATTGCTGTTTTGCTGCTGCTACTGTTGCAATTGCTGTTGCTGCTGCTACTGTGGCAATTGATGTTGCTGCTGCTACTGTGGCAATTGCTGTTGCTGCTGCCACTGTGGCAATTGTTGTTGCTGCTGCTACTGTGGCAATTGTTGTTGCTGCTGCTACTGTGGCAATTACTGTTGATGCATCCATACCAGAGACAGCAGCCATTGCCACAAGTAGTGTTATGAGATGAACATGTAGAATTAGTACTGTAGTATACATTTGTAGGTATGACGAGGTTGAGATTATTGAGGAAATGGTAAAAATATATAAAATACATAAACATTCTTTTTCTTTTGGTGGCTGTCCTATATACATGTATTTAATAAAGAAGAAGATATATACACACGATAAAACACAAACACAAACACACACACACACACAAAAATATAGAGAGATGTACAAGTAAATGATAAATAAAAGAGATTAAGGCATATATAGATAGATATACCATGATAAAGAATATAAACTTACACCTTCCTTCAACCATTCCGGGTGATCCTGGAATTTGTCTTTTATTTTGTTGAAGCCGTCCAATTCTTCAACCTCTCCCATGAATTAAAGGGTGAGATAAAACATTTTTCCTCTTGTTGATATGGAGAAAATAGTCGTCTGCCTTGTCAAAATGCGTGACGTTGATTGTGAGCATAGATTTGAAAGGAAACACTAACTTCCTCACCCTTTCACCGCCTGCCCTATCATATTCAATTTTCTTGAAGTCTTCAATTGCAGTGAGGTCTTGGCTGAATGTTGGACTGTCGATGTCGAAGGTTATATTGATGTCTATCTTGTCTGTTTTGTTGTTGTCGTCTGATGTTGTGCTGTGGCCTGTGTTGATTATCTTCTTGTTGTGCAGTGCAACAGATGTCAACCATTGTAATGACGCCTAAGATCCATTGTATCATTCCTAGATAAATATAAACAAAAAATAATTACCGCTCCATACTCGGCAGCACACAAGTATACCTTCAACCACAAATATAAATAGCACTGTAAGTTAGAACAAAATCAGATTATTGTTTTATTATTCTAAGCATTTAACAGTCTGTTTATTTTCATTTATCGAAGGGTACATGATACACAATATATTGTAATCATTAAGTATTCATAATAAACACAGATGCGAACTTTTATATCTAATTGCCAATATACAGCCAGACTTTAGATGCCAGATATATCGAAGTTCCGGTCCTTTTGTCGATGAACTGGACCATCCTGTAGTCAAAGTGGTGGGGCTATAGTTGCAGAACTAGTGACTGTGTGAGTGGCTGTGGGGGTCGTTGACTGTGTGAGTGGCTGTGGGGGTCGTTGACTGTGTGAGTGGCTGTGGAGGTCGTTGACTGTGTGAGTGGCTGTTGGGGTCGTTGACTGTGTGAGTGGTTGTGGTGGTCGTTGACTGTGTGAGTGGTTGTAGGGGTCGTTGACTGTGTGAGTGGTTGTAGGGGTCGTTGACTGTGTGAGTGATTGTGGGTGTCGTTGACTGTGAGTGGTTGTAGGTATCGTTAACTGTGTGCGTGGTTTTGGGTGTCGTTGACTGTGTTAGTATTTGTGGGAGGTCGTTGACTGTGTGAGTGGTTGTAGGGGTAGTAGACTGTGTGAGTGGCTGTGGGGGTCGTTGACTGTGTGAGTGGTTGTGGTGGTCGTTGACTGTGTGAGTGGTTGTAGGGGTCGTTGACTGTGTGAGTGGTTGTAGGGGTCGTTGACTGTGTGAGTGATTGTGGGTGTCGTTGACTGTG